CACCATAAATTTAGTTACACCTACGCTTCCACCTGTGGGAGGCAGAAAGCGGTCGGATACAGGAAAAACGACTCTCAGTAACAATGAGCTCCCACTCCTCATTTAAGACGTAGTAAGCAACGTTTATTTCTGTCACACTGGGAAACAAACACACGCACACTGCCGAGTAATTTAGGCTTTATCAACAACATGCTGATAAGATAAGATAAGAAAAACTGTATTTACACTCAACACACCACTGAATGAAAGTCCGTAAGAAACTCTCAAGAGTCGTGTTTGTTTAACAGGCACATGCAGTTACATTTAAAGCTCCTGTGAGGAACTAAAGCAGGATACACACAAGGATTTTTTAAATCTGAAGATTTTTTATTTTATATATTATTTGTTATGGACCCCACACATGAAGATAAAAAATCAGACATTGAACAGTTTTGATCGTACTCTGTGTGGTGTTCTGTGATAATCTAAACACAGCACACCACACACAAAACGATTCTGTTCGATCACAGATCTAGAATCAAGTCCTCCAAGACAGAAATCTCATGTGATAAAATAAGATCTAACAAAAACGAAGAAGAAACATAGCAACAAGTAACATGGAAGAGGAAACACAAGAGGAGGGAATGACGGTGGTTTCAGAGATTTTTCACAGAAAAATTCTGTACAAAGAAAAGCGTGGAAATTTGGTTCCTCACTTGGTTCCTTGTTCCTCAGTCAGCTCGCTTCTTGATTGGCTACATTTCGTTTCAGTTGACAATTCACAGAGTCATGATTTGGGAGTCGTCGGCTTTCCCCACACACGTGAAGATTTTTTGTCGTAAATATTGAACAAGTTTAATATTTACAATTGTGGGCTACAACCTGTTTCGGCCCCAAATTCACTCTTAATACCTCAGACCACAGGACAATCTGATAGGATAATCTTAGAAGAAATAAAATCATCTTCCAATTGTCGTCCTCGGTCGAGAGGGGGATAATCGGGACAAAAACAGCCCGATTATCTTTACGTGTGTACCCCACTTTACTGTTTGTGTCAATTTGTCGTCACCTGTAGAGAAAACAGTGGTGGCTAAAATGTTTTAAAATGTGTTAAAATGTGTTAAAATGTAATCATGGACAAAAAAATCTCAGTGTGCTGACCCTTGACAGTCATTTATTGTGACTATTTTCTGTTGAAATTGTAAAAACAGGGCCGTTTCTTCAGCCGATCTGCTGTCACCTACACCCTTACATTGGTTTGGAGCATTATAGATTATAAAACAATAATTGTCAACTTTGTCATAAATGGTTTTGTTTGGTTTTGGATTATATGAAAAGGCATGGACATGAATTTCAGACAGTTTCATAAAAATGAAAAAATTCTTTATAGGAGCTTTAATGATGCACAAACCAGCAAATCAATACAAACAAATTGAATCAATCATTCAGACTTTATTTAAGAAGCACTCCTCATACAAGTTGGTAATCCCTCTAAACTCTGTGTTTTGTTGTTTCATTTATGTAACTCAGTCAGGCTCCGTGAACTTCAATCATCAAGTTTCCATGAGCCAAATTAATTTCAGTCAAAAAGTCCCCTGAGATTTAATCAGTAAAATAAAATCTGTGTAGAGGAGCTTTTTTGTTCTTACTCCGTCATCTGGTGACCTCTCAGATTTATTGTTCACCCTCTGATGGAGCAGGATCACATGACTTGAAACCACTGAACTAAACTCTGCTGTTATTAGGAGCAGCTCCACCTCGAGTGTCTGCGGCAATAACTAGCTGCTTACTTATTAATGGATCTTTATTTGCAATCTGATTAAAATCATATAAAATAACAAGTCATCGGGTTCACTGTTCTGCAGAGTAAGCATCTGATTATATTTTTATTATTTGCACAAATTTTAAGTAAGGTCAGAGAGGCTTAATATTACAAACTAACACTGGTTAATTATAATGAGTGACATCAATTTCAATGGAGCGAGCAAAACATTCTTTTTAAGTGAATAAGTGCTTTAAAATTTAAAATAAAGGAGGAAAAAAAGAAATACGAGGAATACAGTGACTAAAGATTTAACAGTGAGGATTTAAAGGCACTGGAGATATAAGAAATAGACAAATACTGTAGGTAAGGAGAATTAAGAGATATTTAAGAGATAGAAATGTGGAACGAATTGATTGATTGGCGGTTATTTTGAATATGCAAACCAGAAATATCAAAAATAAAACAAGAAAAGTAAGGCTAAACATAAAACATAGAAATACATCATCGAAAAGGAGTGAGAAGAAGAATAACTTACAAACTCCCACCTCTTCCCTTTCAATGATAAGTACCCAATAATTACCTGATAAGTATCAATATAAAGTACGTTCATGACTTTGTATTACAAAACAAAATCTACATCTACATAATACAGCACACACATAAAAACAACAAAACGAAATAAAACAAGAAAGAAACAAAAACTTCATAACACTTAGTGCTAACCAACACCTTCCTCATCCCTGTATCTCTTTAAAACAATGTCTTTATATCTTATTTTAAACTGTGTAAACATGTTTGAACATTTAACTTCATAGAAAACCTGAAACACAAAAACCCTTCCTCTTTGTCCGAATTTAAGTTTGATCAAAGTTAATTTTTCCCCTTCAATTATAACTTTCCTCACGCATACTGAATAATTTCTGTATATTTATTGGTAGATGATTATTTTTAGCTTTAAACATTATTTGAGCTGTTTTATATTCCACAGTATCTGTGAATTTTAACAACTTGGAAAACTGCAGAAATAAGACGTGTGTGTGTTCCTGATCACCAACATCATGTATAACTCAAACAAATAAAGTACAGTAAAAGTGTCCAAGACCAAAACCGTCCACCAGGTTAATGTAGCTTAAATTAAGAGTGAAGAGATTTTTTTAACAGGAAATTAGACAGATTTACAAGGTCAGATTTGAGTTTTTTGCAGGTAAAATATCACCAACCAGCTGGCTGTCAGGCTGTGATCGGCGCTTTTATGTTTTCAGGATTTCTTTTAACTTAGAATAATTAAGTGTGGTGAAAGTACTGCTTTTAAAAACTACAAGTCCCCCCCAAACAAACACCTCAGTTACAGTGACAGTAAATGTAAATGTTTACTTTCAACCATTCAAGTTAGTGAACCCTTTGGCTGTTACCGCCCCCAGCTGGATTCAGACTGTAAGTACACAAACACAGATGACAGTGCATTCAATTCTGACTGTTTGGAGCCTGAAGGCGAAACAGTGAATATGTAAGAATCTATAAAGTAAAAGAGGAAACACCCATGTTATTATTAAATGGGTGTTGATGGTTTTGAATCACAGTAAAGACAGGTAAAGTGAAAGTATTTAGTATTTCAGTGGGTTTATTCAAACTTTAACACTTTATTGTGACAGTTTTTCCCCCCTGAGGTGTTTGAAGATGATTTGCATCCTGGCCCATGGGAAAGTGTGAAGCAGCAGCTTTTAGGAAACACCCCGTGACTCCTCACGTCAGGACAGGGAAGGCGGTCCCACTTTCATCATCCAGCTCCCTGCCCCCAAACAAGATCCACAACAGAGGCAAGAGCCCTCACTCCAACACCATTTTTAACTCACTACACCACCCTCTTCATGAGCTGTGAAATGTAATTTTGACATAAATGCATCTATCATATAAAGATAGATTATTGCAGTATGGCGCTCAATTTCAAAGATTAAACAGATACTTATCCCACCAGATCTTGAAAAAATAATCCATGCTTTCATTTTCTCAGGACGACACTGTAGGACAGGACTGTAACTCTCTCCTACCTGGTCTGAAAAAGAAATCACTCTCCCGCCCCTGACTAGTTCAGAATGCAGCAGCTCGGCTTTTAACTGGTTTTAGTCGATGGCATCACATCACTTCAATTTCAGCCTCTCTTCACTGGCTTCCTGTCAGTTTTAGAATTGACTTTAAGATTTTATTCATTACTTTTAAAGCACTCAAAGGACTTGCTCTGAGTTACATTTCAGAGCTTTTAATATCTTATGAGCCAACTCGCAGCCTCAGATCATCTGACGAAGGCCTCCTGGTCGTTCCAAAGTCGAGGCTCAAAACTAAAGATGATAGAGCTTTGTCCATCAGAGCTCCTTGACTTTGGAACGACCTGCCAGAGGAAATAAGGTGAACAGCAGAGACAGTCACTTCTTTTAAGTCAAATTTTTGGTTTTACTGTCTTTTTAGCTTTTGTTATAATTGTACTCTTTTCTTATTTAATCTTTTAGGCCTTTTATTGTTTTATATCTTGCTCTATTTTATCATTACTATGATAACCAGTATTACGAGTTATTATTTTATTATCATTGTTGTTATCATTGCCTTTTATATTTACTATCCTGTTTCCGCTTTCATCTTTTTAATCACATTTTCTTTTTTCTTAACTATTTCATGTTTTTATTTTGGTCCCCATGGTCTCATTTTATGATCCATGGTTCTTGTATTGTCAGGGTTCCTTATGACGTAGGAAAATGGTCTTCAATTCTGTTTTAACTGAGCTTTTTGTTTTTATCTGTCTTTTCCATGTGCTCTATGACTTAATGTCAAAGCATTTTATAAACTTCTGATTTTAAAATTGCTAAACAAATAAGTTTATTATTATTATTATAATTGTTCTTTTTATTATTATTATTGTTCTTTTTTATTATTATTATATTATTATTATTATTATTATTATTATTATTATTGTTGTTGTTGTTGTTGCTACAATTTTGTTGTTGTTATAATTATTATTGTTATTATTATTATTATTGTTATTATTTTATTATTTTTTTGTTATTATTATTATTATTATTATTATTGTTGTTGTTGTTGTTGTTGTTGTTATTATTATTATTCCACTTTGTCTTATGGTTATTTATCTTTTTTTTTGTGGTCAGTGATGTTTTTTCCCTGTTGGAGCTGAACACATGATCAGCTGATGTCCCTTTTTTATCCCTTTAAACTCGAGGAAGTCTTTCAGGGTGGGGAGTAGAACTGCGCATGCGTGCGGATGAACGCCTGAAGAGCTGAGTAAATTTCCGTCGGAGTGATCCATCTTGTCGTCGTTAACCATCTCTGCTCGGATATCATAAGCGGGTGCTTGTGTCCACGAAGGACGTTTGTCCTCGTTAAACTTCAACCAAAGACTCCAGTTTATGAGTTTATTTCCTTCTGAAAGCAGAAAGCATCCTCGGAGAGCCGGAGGAGAGCGGAGGTAAGATCCTGTCTGCGTTAGCATCTCTGAGTTAGCTCCAATTTAGCCCCCTCTGTCACTGACCAGGTGGTTTGGTCGGGCGATAATCAATACTTGTATCACAAATATATCTGATGATTATCTTTGATTATCACTGGAAATGTGTAGCATCGTTTTTCTTCCATGTATCGTCATGGAGTTAAATTGGAGAGCTAACGTTAAAAGGAAGTAAATGGGAAGACGCGCGAGGCTGACAGCAGCTCGTGCGTCAGAGAGTTGATCAATCAGGCTTATCGATAAAGACGATCAAATACAAGAAAACTTCAGCTACTTTTAATAACGAATAAAGTTTAATAAATGAACTTTAAAAACCAAACATAAAGAAAACACTCGGTTTAGTTTGTTATTGTGTAAATATATCAGAAGAAGAAACGTTTCCTGTTTATCACCGACTGTATTTTTACTGTTTTATTTCTGTTCAGACAAATTTAGCTTTAACAGCACGGGAACGACACAATCAAATGTCACGTACAGAACAACACTTCAGTTATTACATAAGAGCTCAACACTGAGACACCAGGAAAAAGAAGGAAAACCGGTTTACTTCACATAAATCTGTCCCTAAACGGTATCCTTACTGTTTTAACCACAGCAGATACAGTTCATGTTCAACTGCAATTAAAATGTTGATAAACCAGAATTTCAGGATTTGCTGATCATTTAAATCTATAATTAAAGCCCTTTTCTAGGGCTGGGCGATATGGGAAAGAAATTTATCATGATATTTTTTTTCGTATCAGTCAATATCGGTAAATATCACGATATAAAAAATGAAATTTAACAGTGTTTATTGGTAGCATTTCTTTAAAAATACAATAATCTCCTGCATCTGTGAGGTCTTTGTGTCTCTTCGACATTTTGTTGTAAGGCGTTGCGCTATAAAAGCGAACTGAACTGAAAACTCCTTGCTCCGCTCGGGGTTTGTAACCTTTTACATTGTGCGTGCTCTGCGGTGTGGCGCTGCATCAGGTGGTGAAAAAGATTTGTGGTATTCCCTGACTTTGTGAGAACATGTACTCGACATAATTTACAGTCCACATTACTCTGCTTCATGACCGACCTTAAAAAAACAAAATACCTCCACACCACCGATGTTTTCGTGTCAGTTTTGTCGACAATGTCATTCATCGTCATTTCTGTCGGGGGTGCTTTTGGTTGACGCAGCTCAAGGAAGAACATTTATGATCATTTCTTCATGGAAATACAATCAGACCGAGATGCTAAGGCAGAAGAACTACCGCGTCTGTAAAATGATTAATATGGTGATTATTACTTCAAGAAAATGATAAAGAAATGATCATAAATGTTCTTCCTTGAGCTGCGTCACCCCACTGTAGTCCGTAATGGACTGGCCTGAGGTCTTGCTACAAACAAGCGGCTGCTGGAAGAGAGTAGGTGAGTTGTGTTTAGTCTCTTTGCTAAAGAAACGAGTCAAAGCTAAAAAGCTGTTTGGTGTCTAGTACCATGGCTGTGACCCTATATGTCCTGTTGATGAAGTTAGGAGCTGTTCTGAGCATTATTTGTGGCTATAGAGTGGCGTTTTGGTTGAGGTTTGTTTATGGCTCCTCAGACCGCTGTGTATTGATATCCTGCGGTCGTTACTAAAGTTGGTATAACTAGAGAAGCAAGCGGTTGGCAGCATTCTAACTGTGTTACGGTGTGTTTGACCCTGAATTAATTTACGCCGGAATATCCCTTTAATAGAATTAAAGACACTAGCCAGGTGGTCCCTCTGCCCTTTTGTGTAGGATGCAGCATCCATGGTTTCAGAAATGATTCCTCAGATTACAGGACAGTTTTCCCCTTCACCTCAGTTTTATCTGGTTTGCTTATAATAAATCAAAGTCATTGTGTTTATGTTTCGTGTCTCTTTCTTAATTATTGAGTCCCTCTGACTTGCACATGTTCTCTATGTAGTTTATTAGAGGGAGAAATCTTTTGATTCGGACTAAAATAAACTTAACTTCACTCAAGTATTAAGTGTTTATGGATCATGTTGATATATGGTTTCCTCTTAGCGTGATACAATTTGTGGAAGCAGCTAGAAAATGGAAAATGATCCGATACAAACTGACCGTAACCATTGTGAGATGTTCCTCCAGGTGTTTGTTTTGAAGAGTTACTCAACTTTTTATTGTTTTATTATACGACTCTGTCCCAACGATTTTGTAACACTATCGGAGTTTCATCATCTGATAGGTTCTCTTTGCTCTGAATGTACGACATGTCTGTTCCCAGTTTTCGTTTTGAATATTCGTTGAAGTTCCTGGTTCTAAAGATAGCTCAACATGTCGCTGCATGACCTCTGAGTGAGAAATATTCTCCACCAACAAGAGGTTTTTCATTCATCCTGTCCTGTTCCAGCGTTTAAAGGGGACTTTTATGTCAAATGATATAGTTAGGAATACTTTGTCCTATTAATAGATCACGTATTATAAAGCGGGTGTATTTGCATTCACCGGGCAGAGACCAGATGTTTGCTTAAAATCTGACACACAAAAGTATCAGCCTTACAAATCCACAAGAAGTCCCTCTTATCAGAGCAAAACGGACAAACACAGAAGCCAGGTTGTTGTAGTTGAAGTGTTTTATTTTGGAATAACGACCGTCCTGTCCTCTTTGTCCCCTAAACAGAAAGTGGGAGGTGCGTACAGACCAATGAGAAGCATGGGGATGTCCCAGTCTGAACAATGACAGGGAGGAAAAAGCAGGAGACATAAACAACGCCAGAGACACTCAGAGTCCTCACCATGAGCTCTCCTGCTGCTGTCACGGAGCCAGAAGACGCTGCAGCTCCGGAGGATGCGGAGTCACCGTTAATGTACCAGATAGAGCGTCCGGTGTACGATGAGGGTTTCATCAGGACGAATCTTCACCGCAAGAAAAACTCCAGAAACCTCAGAAAGAAGCTGAAAGAGCACTTCAGGTAGGAGAGATCCTCATTCAGTCATGTTTCAGATGAATAAATCAGTCCGTATATAACAAGAATATTCACCCTCGGTCCAGAGAAGGGATTGTATTTACACAAATCAGAGACAGTTAGATGTCCTCACCTGATGTCCTCATTTTGTCTGACTTTTATCATTTATTGTATCTAAATGATTGTAAATTGTAAGCTGGGTGGTCTCTGATTTCCTAAAAGAAAGTCAAATCTTGTTTTTCGGATCATTTGTGCTTGAATTTTAATATTTAATGCTTTCCGTTGTGCATGGTACGTTTTCAACCTAGATTTGAGGGTGCACCCAGAAAAACTCTGTGCACAGACGGTGGTTTTTGGGAGTGATTTGAAGCCCATACAGTGACTTCCACTCCAGAGTCATGCCTGATTTTGAGGGTTTGAAGATCAGGACCATCCAGTCCTGGTTTTGGTCCTTGTCCCTTTTAGTACAGAGATTTCTCCAGATCCTCTAAATCTTAGAATGATATTGCTGAACCTCTTCCATCTTTCCTCCTGAGACACTCGGCCTCTCTGAATGTCCTTTTTAGACCCACTCATGTTACTGAGACGTCACTTATTAACCTCAATAGTGGAGAGATGTTCCTCCGGCTGTTTTTTTAGCCTTATAACAACTTTCTCAGTGTTAACTCGACATGGTGTTCTACTTTACAACTGTTACAAGCTTTTTCCGCTTTAAATGGTTTTACTCTCTGAATGAGTAATCGATGTACTGTCCAAATAATCTGCAGGTTTATTGAAACTGAAATAATGTAGTTTCAGCTTTTTAAGGGATCTTAGTCCAGATCCAGATCTGACCCTTTTCCTGTTGTTTCTGAAGCTCAGAAGAGTCAAGAGTAAATAAGATGTTCAGATGTTTCCTCCTAACTCTGACCACTAATGACTTTGCTGCACATTCCTGGTTTTGAATTTCATTTTATGGTCATTAAAGCAGTAAAAGGCAGTAAAAACAGCATTTATATTGCTCCATCATTGTCCTGTGCCGACATTAATTATCTCTTTTATGGTTCCTGTCCTGGGAAACCCAACACTTCCATCCTCTTTGTGGTGACCGGGACATAACAATGTGCTCACTCTTGTAACTCAAAAATAAGGAGACGATGAAAAGACCAAAGTACAGTTGGTCAGACGTAGATAGATCTTTTAAAGGACTGGTTATTAAAATAAAACTCTTGCATCGTCTCTGATTGTTTGTAAAAATCCAGTTGAACTCCTCTCTTTCTGTTTTGAGTGGATAATTGATCTGTCGTCTCACCTTTCCCAGGTGTTCCTCAAAGAAGGCCAAGGCAGCTCTCTTCAGCTTCCTGCCGATTCTAACATGGCTGCCCTCCTACCCCGTCAAAGAGTACCTGTTTTCGGACGTGGTCTCGGGTCTCAGCACAGGAGTTGTGCAGCTCCCACAAGGTCAGAACAGAGAACTTTGAAGGATGGACGGTAATAACTGTCTGAGAGGAGAGACAGAAGTGGGTCTGACCCCTGAGAGGCTGTTTCCAGCTTCACGCTGTCTTTGTTTCTGGATCTCTGTAGCTCTGAGGTTGTGTTGCAATCACTTTGCTTCTGGGACTGCTCTGTTTATTTACATCTCCCCCTCTCTGCTGCTCCACAGGCCTGGCCTACGCTATGCTGGCAGCGGTGCCTCCAGTTTACGGTCTGTACTCGTCTTTCTACCCGGTGCTGCTCTACACTTTCTTCGGTACATCCAGACACATATCCGTCGGTAAGAAAAACTCACTCCGAGATTCTTGTGCAGGGTTTTATTTAGTGGGTTGTAAATCTGTGGTTGGTGGCTTTATAAAAGCACAGTGGTGTCTTTATTTTTGATCACGGTGGCAGCAGGAGCAGGAATGTTGCAGCTCTGTCTCCGGCGTCTTGACTAAGGTGTGCCTGGGGAGGGAGGGAGGAAACATTCAGTCTGGACTGTTTTGCATTGGTGCAGCAATGCGGACAGCCTTAAATCTAAAACAGCTTTGTTCGGCTGCTCTGCCTGCATTCTCATCGTAATCTAATCAGTGTGTTTTTAGTATTATGAGCCTTTATGAGGACCACCATTTAAAGCTGAATGAAGCCAAGTAACACATTTTTACCCGACAAAATATCTGCAAGAAGTTCAGACAACAAAACTCATAAAGAAAAGAATAAAGAAGTAAAAAAAAAACTCAGAGTTTCATGAAAACATTATTGAGGGGGTAAGGAACCAAAACTGGTGTCACAACAAAGTCCAGTTTTTTTATTGTGGACATAAACAAGAATCAAAAAGATGTTTCTGTTCGCCTCACTGTGCAAAAAAAGAGCTCTTAATAGATTCATATCTGGACTTACCTGACAGAATAAACCCTTAAAATCAGCACCACTGCGTCAGATCAGGGATTACTCCCTCATGCAAACAAACTTTCAATAATCGCCTAGTAACGATGATGCACCGCCATAAGGTTCTTGGTTTTGTGACCGTTACTTTACCTTAATACCAACTAGGGCTGCACGATTAATCGATTTTAAATCGTAATCGGATTATTTGATTATGACGATGTTAAAAAAACTAAAATCATCAAATCTATTTTCCTCTCTATCATGTCTCACAACTCCAGGCCACCGTAGGCTCCTCCTTCCTGCAGGAGCGCTCCCCAGTTCCCACACACACTAATGTAAACAAACATGGCGTTTGCTAAAGAAGGCGATAATTTAGTGGTTAAATAGGACAAGATGAAGAGCAAACCACTCCCCGCTGTAAAGTCTGTCTGAAGGCGGTATCAACCCGTCACCACGGAAACAAATTCAGGAGGAAACGCTAAAGTTTTTTGTCGTATCGGCGTTTCAGGTGATTATAAACGTTACCCTTTGAAAACAGGTCAGAGAGTGAATAAATCTGTAAACGACGACCATTTCATCTCCGTGTGGATGTCTATCTGCATCTCTGGAAACGATCATGTGACACACAGAGTAACTCTTTTATGGTGCCAAAACAACCTTTATACACATGCTCTGTACTCGTCTTTTTTTGCATTTCCTCGTGTTACAGCACCACTTACTGTCTTAGCATATGACTACTTATTTTCAGTGGTTTCATTTAGAGAGATGATAGATAAACTCCTTATTTTTAAAGTGAAGTTTGGTGAAGTTGTCGCTGAATAAAAAATCAGGATTGTATTTTTGGCCAAAATGGCGCGGCCCTCATACCAACTAAACCGACTGTAACGAGTTTCACCTTCTTCTCCTGAGGCGATGAAGTTCCACTCAGGTGTGAAACAAACAGGTCTCTGGTGAAACTGCTGCACAGGGCTGGACTTTAAGTTGGCCGTGACTTTCAGCTCTGAATCAGATGTAATGTTACACTCAGATGTGCGCCCAGCTGGTTCTTGGAGGTGATGTTTACACTACAGATTGACCACAGTGTAATGAATTCACTGTGTATATAACGGGGATCTGTGAAGACAAATAAAAACCTTTAATCAGAGCTGTTTTGACAGTCAGGGTAGAGTAAGCTCTCTGGATTCACAGTAAAAACAAGAAGAGATTCTCTTATTTTGCACACTCACCTTCAAACAGATGAACATATTAATACCTCAGGGACTCTTTCTGTTCTGTCTCTACATTTTTGTGAGGGCAAAAACCCGAAACACTCTTTTTGGATTATGGAAAGGCAGTCCTACGTCTCTAAATTCCCACAATGCTCTCTTAACATACCCCCAGGTATGTAAATTCAGCAGGAAGAGAAACTCACGCCTTCACTCCCACTGTGACCTGAGTGGTTCAGGTGTCTTTCAAGAATTACTGCTTCAGGGAGTGTTTAGTGAAGAGTCACCAGGGTGTGGAGTGGGAATAAAAGATCTTAACAACTGTCAGAGGTGACACAATTTTTCAGCTTTAAGAGCAACATTTCCAGGTGTGGAGTGTTCCTGTCTGCTCCATTTAACATTCAACAACCACATATGGACAAGATAAACATTAACAAACGTATAATGTTCCCTCAGAGGCAGGGCTCTCGTTGTGTACGCTGTGTTTGTCAGATTATCTCTCTCTATGATCTGAAACTCGAAGATAAAAGTTGTGATATAAACGGGACGAGCAGCAGGACACAGGCGCTGTAAAAAAAGATGATCCCTCAACTCCTGGCAGAGAGAGAGGGGGAATAACTGGGCGGTGGTTCAAGTGCTGGGCAGGGTGGCCTTTTCACTGAGGACACACACACACACACATACACACACACACACATACACACACACACATAAATGTCTGACCTCTCAGTTACTCTGGACACCGTCAGTCTGTTCAAGCTCGGACAGAAGCAGGGCAAAGGTGAAATAACGATGTGTGATTTGATTTCACCACATTTGAGACCCTCTGTGTGTCTCTGAGATCCGACTGGAGGTGAAGTTTGATCTGAATTTTACATTTATCCTTCTTATACACAGAAATCTAGAGGACATTTAAGTCCAAGTTGCACATGTGATTTTGAGAATATTTCCTTCAATGTGAACGAATGAAATGTTTCATGTTGTTTGTCAGAGTTAAAACTAGCTGCATTTAAATGGCATAAAATACTGGAATTGTGAAGTCCAAACAGAGAAAATATAAACGCTTCAGTCGGATTAAAACAGGTCCAAACTAAACAAACAAACCAAGTCCAGATTTCTTCTGATGAAGTGATGCTCAGATCTTAAAGGGATATTCCTGCGTAAAATTAATTTAGAGTCAAACACACCGTAACACCGAGTTAGACACTCCGTCCAGAGATGAATATTGTTGACCGCTTCCTTCTCTAGTTAAACCAACTTTAGTAACGACCGCAGGATAATAATACACAGAGAGCCACGCCCTCAACCAAAAGTCCACTCTATAGCCACAAATAATGCTCAAAACAGCACCTAACTTCATCAACAGGACATATAGGGTCACAGACATAGCATTTCATTTATTTATCATTTCCTTAAAGTAATAATCATCATATTAATCATTTTTCTCTGCAGACGCGGTAGTTCTTCTGCCTTAGCGTTTCGGTCTGATTGTATTTCCATGAAGAAATGATCATAAATGTTCTTCCTTGAGCTGCGTCACCCCGCTGTAGTCTGTAATGGACTGGCCTGAGGTCCACCACGAGGGACACCAAAGTAGTTCAAGAAAAACTTTCAATAACAGGATTCATTAAAGTGACAATCAGGGGCTTAAATGATCAAGCAGGTGTTTCCCAAACTAACACAAACTCAAAAACCCTGAGAGTCAGTCAGTAAAATCTGTTTCCCTTGGTGTCAGCTGATCGCAGATAAAGCCTCTGATTGGTCATCAGATCAAAACAAAGACTTGTCACAGAAATTATTCATAAAACATCTCAGATAACCTTCAGTTTTGAGGGATTGGATCTAGATGGTCTTTGGGAATTCACTTTTATTCGTCAGGCGGTCAGTGTCGTACCGTTCAGCTTTTAGACACAACTCTGTTTGTTTTGTAATGTATAATTTTGTCGTGTCTCTTTATGACCCCACTAAACTACATGAATGATCCAGAGACTCACGATCTTTTCTCGCTCCTGGATCAGCGGGTGTTTGACAGTATTATTGACAAAAAAAAGATAACAACCTGCAGTAATCCCTGAACAAACTTTAGATCCTGCTCAGGGCTCAGGGCCACAACTGACAAGAGCAGCAGGACTTACAGTGACCCCTCTCCTCTGGACTTTCCAAGAAAGAGCTCCAAGTCTTCTCAGGTGTCGGCCCTAACCTTTGAATCCGTGTGACCGCTGGACACGATAAATCAAACCTGCTCAACCTTTCTAAACAAAAGAGAGAGTAACAGGGAGGACCTGTGCTCTTCTTTTAATTAAAATGTGGTGTGAGAGAAAATAATGTTCCTTTAACTTCTGGCAGAGAGAGCAGAGGAATAACTGGGCTGCTGTTCAAGTGCAGGACAAGAGGGCTCACTTCAGCGGCTCTAAATTTACAGCAGACCCCACAAGAGTCCACGGCGCCACAGATTTTTTCGATCCTAATTTAAGAGGTGAAATCACATGAGTCTGATCTTGTTTGTGTGTTTGACTTGCAGGAACCTTTGCAGTGATAAGTCTCATGATCGGTGGGGTCGCGGTAAGAGAAGCCCCCGACTCCATGTTCCCCATGGCGCCCTCAAACGCATCCAACATGTCTGCCGTCCTGGGGGTGGATGTGGAGGCCCGTGACGCGAGGAGGGTTCAGGTGGCCGTCGTGCTCACAACGCTGGTGGGAATCATCCAGGTCAGCCTTAAGACGACCAAAACACGGAGCTCAGTGGAAATCTTCTCACGCTCTAGAAATCGGTGTTTACCCAAAACAGCAGGATTTTCTTTTCTGTTTTTATTCATATTTTCTTTTCCTCCAGTTTGTTCTAGGTCTTCTCAGGTTTGGGTTTGTCGCGATCTACCTCACAGAGCCCCTGGTACGAGGCTTCACCACAGCCGCAGCCGTGCATGTCGTGGTCTCTCAGTTAAAATACCTGCTGGGGGTGAAAACGCAGCGCTTCAGCGGGCCTCTCTCTGCCATCTATGTGAGTTTTTGTCGATTTTAAGAGGATTTGTTGGTCTTGTTTCATATAAAACATCTTTATATAAACATGAAAAAACGAGATGATTTCAAAGTTCTCACTGTTTTCTTTTTTCTCTCGATTCAGAGCATCAAGGCGGTACTCAGTGATATCACCAGCACCAACGTCACCACCCTCATCCTGGGACTTGCTTGTCTCATCTTCCTGTACGTTATCAAAGACCTCAACGAGCGTTTCAAGAAGAAGCTGCCCATCCCCATCCCAGGAGAGATCATCGTGGTCATCGTGTCCACCGGCGTCTCGTTTGGCCTCTCTTTATCGCAGGACTACAAGGTGGACGTGGTCGGGAAGATCCCAACAGGGTATGTTCCTGATACGAGGGCCGAAAATAAAATCCAGATTTTTATTTTTAGATTCAGTGACGACTTCACCAAACTTCACGCTCAGGCGCCATGAAAGAGTTACGCTGTGTGTCACATGATCGTTTCCAGAGATGCAGATAGACATCCACACGGAGATGAAATGGTCGTCGTTTACAGATTTATTCACTCTCTGACCTGTTTTCAAAAAGAACCGTTTACAGTCACCTGAAACGCCAATACGACAAAAAACTTTAGCGTTTCCTCCTGAATTCGTTTCCATGGTGACGGGTTGATACCGCCTTCAGACAGACTTTACAGCGGGGAGTGGTTTACTCTTCATCTGAAACTGTGAAGCCGTACCAATTCAACACGACTGACTCGCTCTTGTCCGATTTAACCACGAAACTATCGCCTTCTTTTGCAAACGCCATGTTTGTTTACACTGGTGTGTGTGGGAACTGGGGAGCCTACGGTGGCCTGGAGGTGCGAGACATGATAGAGAGGAAAATCAATTTGAGGATTATAATTATTTTAACATCGTCTTAATCAAATAATTAGATTACGATTAGAAATCGATGAATCGTGCAGCCCTACCTGGTTTCCACTTTTTGCCTTTAATAATATTTTATATGGAGAAAATAAAAAACTGCCCGCTCAGGTGTATCCCCCGACAGAGTACGACCAACTTTCTCTATTGTGTCGTCAGGCTCCTCCCACCTTCTGCACCGATGTTCTCCCTGCTGCCCAATCTGGTCACGGACGCCTTCGCTGTTGCGATCGTGGGATTCTCCATGGGCATCTCGCTCTCGAAGATCTTTGCCCTGAAGCACGAGTACAGCGTGGACGGGAATCAGGTCAGTCTTGATGTTTAAGGAAACCAAAGTCTCTACGAGGTGAACTGAGTTCAGAGTCACTCTCTGTTGACTTACTGTACTTGTCGGTAATTATTGATCGTCTGTGAAGTTCAGTGACGTTTGCTCTGTCAATAATCGCCACCTTTAACCCTCAAACTACAGATTCAGAGTTTTTTTTCTCTTTTGTACTCTTCTTAATTATTACCAAACCTTCTCTTTGTGTTTCAGGAGCTGATCGCACTCGGCCTGTGCAACTTCATCAGCTCTTTCTTCCAAACTTTCGCCATCACCTGCTCCATGTCCAGGAGCCTGGTGCAGGAGAGCACGGGTGGAAAAACTCAGGTACCACAGGAGCCGTTATCTTATCTCTCTGGACTTAATGAGCGTTTATGATCAGAGATGATACGGACACGTTTCTCGTTGACTGTGCTCAGATTGCAGGGCTGCTGGCGTCTCTGGTGGTGCTGCTGGTGGTGGTGGCCATTGGATTCGTTTTCCAGCCGCTCCCTCAGGTGGGTGGAGATCTGACTGTCTAACATCATTAGTGGATCTGCTGGCACTTGAATCTAAATCCTGACGCGCCGCTAAGACTCTTCACTAATGTGCTTCTTTATCGGTTTGTCGTCATGGTGATTGATCTTCTGCTCCGTTTCCCAGACTGCGCTGGCTGCCATCATCATGGTGAACCTGTTGGGGATGTTCAAGCAGTTCAGAGACATTCCTAATCTGTGGAGGACCAGCAAGATCGAACTGGTCAGTCCGCCGGATCAGACAGTGGTCTTGTTTTGTACCTTGTAGACCTCCCTGGCTTTAGTTCGAAGAGTATAGTCTCGTTTATTTCACCGGTTTACAGCAGAGTTCATGTGCCCTGATAATGACCCAGAGGTGTGATGGCGGGACCAAGTAGAGCTGATATCAGAGGTGTCAGCGGGTCAGACAGGATCACTGCGAAATGTCAGAGCTGGCAGGAACAGAGCTGCGTGCGTGTGTGTGTGTGTGTGCGTGTGTGTGAACACATTGGCGACGCTTTGACACAGTGTGAAATCACAAAACCAAACACCGGTATCACGCTGCTGCAGATCTATTGTACGGACACAAAGGCGGAATGACGACAGGGATTCATAGAGGAATAGAAACGAGTTAAAAAGAAAAAACCGCAAATAAAGGAGCTGCAAACTTTGGTAACACTTTACAACAACCAGAACTTATAAACAGTAAATAGACCATTTATAGATGGTAAGTAGATAGTTTATTAATGTTTAATCATCATTTATATATATAGCATAAAGACCATTAACAAATTGTAGATTTTACAATTTTAAAAACCAAATATTAAACATTTACAAAGTGCTGCTGACTCATATTTTAATAAATAGTCCAGTAATAAATAATAAAAATTATTAATCATATTTTTATTGCTTGTTAAAGGTAAAGTAACTATTTACTTACATTAATAAATTATCTATTTACCATTTATAAATGATGGTTATTGTAAAGAGTTACCCAAACTTTTAGCTGCATAGAAATGTATGAATGAAACACTGAAACATGTATTTAGATTAATATTAATATTCTGGTGCAGCTCAGCGTTTGACTTGAGAGAGGAAACATGAAGATCTCCAAAGATTAAACATCTACTTGTAAATTTCTAGACTTTAATGCCTTTATTTTGAAAGGATGGGACAGTAGATGGAGCATAAAAAGGACAGGACAGTAAATAGAGCGTGCAGGTAAGGGCTGTCGAACCAGCGACATGTGGGACGAGGGCTTTTCTCTCTGTATTTGGAGTGGACTGTTAACACGCGGCGCTTCTGAATTATTGCAAATTGAAGCTTTAAAGAGTGGCATATGTTCCTATTTTTAGATATTTAGAGATCAGTGTCAGTTAAATCTCAGTTTGCCTTTCTTCTGCAGCTGAAACTTTGTTATTGTGACGAAAAGGAACTGCTGTTATATCCTGTTACTACGAGGAAATGAGGATGTGAGAGTCGGTGTTTTTCCCACATGTCAGGATTTAAATATTTCTCCTTTTGTCTGTTTTTTTCTCTCTCTCTCTCTCTCTCTCTCTCTCTCTCTCTCTCAGGCGATCTGGTTGGTGGCCTTCGTGGCGTCTGTGCTGTTGGGTCTGGATTACGGCCTCCTGGTGGCCATCACGTTCGGCATACTCACCGTCATCTACAGAACACAGAGGTGCTGAAACAGGCAGAAAGTTTTCAGATCGTAGATTTACTGTGAAATAGTTTGAAACTTATCTTTCTTGTGTTGCAGCCCTAAAAGTTCTGTTCTGGGCCACGTCCCCGGGACAGGTCTGTACTGTGACGTGGACGAGTATGAAGAGGTAAAAAACCGTAAACGTCTAATCCTCCAAAGAGTCTTATAATCTGGTGATTGAAAATCTCAGGTTTGTGTTCTGTTCCCAGGCAGCTGAATATGAAGGGATTAAGATTTTCCACTCCAACTCTTCGATCTACTACGCCAACAGTGACCTCTATGTGACCTCTCTGAAGGAGAAGGTAATCCCAGCGTCTCTCTCTCTGTGTGAGCCTGTGATTAGGAGTGAGTTTATAAAACACTCGAACAACGACTCGGAGACGACTTTCCCACCTTCACAGTGAAACATGAGAGAGGCGTTCAATCACTGCCTCTGTTGTTGTGAACTCAGAGTCGTGTAATTAAAGCGATTAAACAGCTGAGCAAACATTTATAATGTGATGTTAGTGACGAGATGATTTCCTTTCATTTAGTTTAATAAATCAGAACCGTTATTGACATCAGCCGAAACACACAGGATCTGTACTGAGCTCATTCCGTCAGCGTCTCTGAGCATAGCAGCAGCGTCGTGCAGCAGCGTTGTGCAGCAGCGTTGTGCAGCAGCGTCGTGCGGCTCCGGTCAGCTGGTTCAGTATAGAGGAAACAACACCCTCACAACAGGTTGTTTTTCCTTTCTGTGGTCGATTTCCTGATAATTTGGATATAATTCAGTGACCGTTGAACTTCTACTGTCTGTGAAAAAACATGAAGTGGTTTTATAGTTTTGGTTTTTGCAGATAGACACTTTCTAGACACCATTTAGAGACGTTTAAACCTCACAAACGACTCGGTTTTTTAGATGTGTGATGATATTTTAACTTGTAGGATACATCAAAACATGGCGGGTGATAAACCAGATTTTCATCCTGATATTTTCAGATGTAAACCCTGTTTTAAACATGTTTAATTTATGATTTCATCCCTGATATACTTCACACAAGAGAAAAGTTTATCCTTCAAAATGTTGGACCTCTGCTGACTTTTAGGAGGAGCAGTTTGAACATTTGCTCAGTTCTCATAAATCTGGTGTAGAGTTAAAATATATTTAAAGGTATTTTAAAGGTTTAGTGGGAAGGCCTGTTATTGAGACGCATGGAGATTTGTTTCAGATCTATGAGCCTGTGATCCGTGGATCTGTTAGATTCGTGGTCTGTGAGTTGACGCTGCTGCTCCGTTAGGAAACTCCGTTCTGCAGAATATTCAATAAAGTTTGATCAAGACTGAAGAGAAAGTTTTCACAATCTAAACTCCAAAAGTTCAGCTTCTCTTCTTTGTAGCGTTCTTAACCAAACACTAAAAACTGAAACTCCTGTTTTACACATTCAATCAAACAAAGAATCACGGAGAGCATCATGTCCTTTTATTGAGCAGCTCAGTTCTACACTGACCTGGTCTGGGGGTCTCTTTGCAGACTGGAGTAAATCCTGAGGACTTAAAAGCTGCTCGTAAAGCCCAGAAGAAACAGCAGCAGAAAGCCAATGGAAACCACAAACCTCCTCTCAAGTTGTGTGCCAAGGTGAGTCTCCCCCCACACTATCAGCCTGTTGACAGAGTAAATACGCAGTTTGCTGTGTGTGTGTGTCTGTCAGGACGTGGAGGGACTGAAAAACTTGTTCCTCAGCCTGATGTGGTGTCAGGGCGTGGCTTTAACTCCTCAGGAGGTTGTAATTCCTCAGCTTCTGTGGTGGAAAACGGCCAAGACTGAACTTCCTCTTACAGATTTATTCAACCGAGACTTGTGTCACCACGACAACGTCAGTCTACAACCTGAGTTTCAAAAATGCCAGGATGAAATCAAACCGATTTTGTTGGTTTTCGATCATATAAATTGATTTTTAACCAGAAACAGCTCTCAGACTTTTGCTCATAAAAAGAAAGTCGAGTTTTTCATCAGTTTTTCTCTTTGAATGATTCAGTTTTCATGTGCGTTTGTAAATGCAGCGACGCACCGTGTCTTTGAGCAGCGGTTTTTGGCCCATGCAGTGAATTCCACTACAGAGTCCTGTCTGTTTTTTACTACAGTGCCCCCTGAGGGTCTGTACAAAAGAGACAGGATCCAAAACCAAGACCTGATGGGCTCCGATCTTCAGAGATTTAATGATATTACGTTCTACAGATGATGAAATCCACTCATTCTTTCACGTTTTACACTCCGGAGTATAACCATTATGAAATCGTTGACCTATTTGCTCACGCAGTCTCTCACAGAGTCTCTCACAGTGGGACCTTCTAACTGTCTTTGCAGCAGTCATGTTCTGCTGTAGAAGATTAACCTCATTACAGACGTCCCTGCAGGTGTTTTTAGTGAATAAACAACTTTTTCAGTCCTTTACTGTCCCCGTCTCAACTTTTTAAAACGTGCCGCAGACATCAAATTTAAATCAAGCGGATGTTTTTCATAAAACTAGAACAGTTTTCTCAGCTTCAGCGTTTGATACATCAACTTAGATCTTATTTTGATTTTAAAACAAGGTTTAAATGATCAGAGATATTTGTTGATGATTTTAATACTTCTAAAATATCTGAAGACTCAGAGAAAAGCAGCTTAAAAAGTCTGTCATAGAGAGTGAGTTTCTCTGTTTTGGTTCCAGTATAAAGAAACAGGAGTGACCCACGAGATTTTGTCCCCGAACCACGTGGTCGAGGAGGAGGAGCAGAGGAACGGGCAGATCGGGGACCGCTGCAGCGAATCGGAGGAAGAGGCCATCTTCCTCAGACCTCTCAGCGCCGTTCACTCCATCGTCCTGGACTGGACGTCCGTCAGCTTCATCGACTCTGTGGGCGCCAAAGCCGTCAAACAAGTACAGCCTTCGACTTCTGCAGAGACTCTCTTATATCACGTCTTTTTAGAAATGTAGATGACAGTGATGTGGAGTTCCAGTGAAGGACTCTTATTTGTCTCTGTAGGTGATAAAGGAGTACGCAACCGTGGATGTTAAAGTGGTGATAGCCGGCTGTAACAGTAAGTATCTATGATTTACTGACATGCGTTTTTTGTCGCCTTATCTGAACACTTTGGCTTAATTTAGAGGATAACTTTCGTCTGTTTGTTGTTCAGAGCTGACTTATTTGTCGCCTGTTTTTGTCTTCAAGGATGTCTCCTGTCTGAACTGGACAACTTAAGGTTCTTCAACGAGGCGGTGACTCCTGAGATCGTGTTCCCCACCGTCCACGACGCCGTGCTGCGATGTCGACACTCAAAGCCCCGCCCATCAGCAGCGACGAACCAATGACACCCCACCTGAGGTCCTGCAGAGTCCAGAGGTCTCTCACTCAGCTGTTGGATGTTCCAGCATCACGGTGGAGATGAACGGAGCGATCATTCATATTGAATAGAGGAGTGTTTGTAGTGTTTGTAACTTATAAATGCCACAAAGGCAGTTCAATGAGGCTCCCGGCCAATCAGAAATTCAGTCCTGAGTTTCCCGCTGACATTCCTAAAGCCTTATTCCTCTGCACTGTCGGGAGTACGTGGAGTTGTACTTGTGAGGCTTTTGTAGAAAGCTTTCACGGCTCTTTTTAGAGATCTACACTCAGAAACTTTGGGAGAAACGGTGGCTGCTGTTCTGGTCTGTGAGGTCTTAACAGGATGATGTATGAGGAGCCCCTTTCACACGTGATTCCTGACATTTTCTAGACATTACTGTAAACACACAGTGAGGAGAGTAACTAAAAAACTTTTTTCTAAAACGACTTTTTCCAGATAAAAAAAACAGTCTTAAATTAAATCAATTTAAAGATTTTCAGTTCGGTCAGAATTCCCTTTTTTCCTCCAAATTCTAACTTATGACTTTAAGAAACAGTTTGAATTCCGACTTTTTCACAGAATTTTGAAAAAGGTAACAATTCTGACTTTTATCTTAAAACATCTGGGACAAAAGTTGGTTTTAAAAAAAGTCACAATCCTCTCAGAATTCACTTTTATTCTAGAATTCTTACTTTTTTTTCAGAATTTTGACTTTTATCACTTTTTCACGGAATTCTGAAATGTATCCAGAAATTCTGAAAAAGGTAACAATTCCGGCTTTAATCTAAAACTTCTGGACAAAGTTGGTTAAGAAAAACTCAGAATTCTGGTTTGATCCTAGAATTTCATAATTAAAAGGCAGAATTCTGAGGAAAAAATTAAATTCTGAATTTTATAACAAAATTCTGAAATGTATCCAAAATTCTTGTGAAAGTCAGAATTTAGAATTTTATCCCAGATTTTGGGGGAAAGAGAGAAAAATTCAGACTTTGATCTCATTAGTTTGGTCGAATTATCCTAGAATTCTGAAAAAAAACAGTTGAAATTCTGACTTTGATCTAAAACTTCAGAGACAAAGTTGGTAAGAAAACGTTGTGGTTCTGGTTTGATCTCAGAATCACTTTTATCCTAGAATTTTGTTATAAAAGTCAGAATTTTGAGAAAATTTTGAATTTTGACTTTTTCACAAAATTGTGAATTTTATCCAGAAATTCTGTAAAAAGTCAGAATTTAGAAAAAAGAAATTCTAACTTTGATCTCAGTGATCTGACTGAATTATTCTAGAATTCTGAAAAAAAAAAGTTTTGACTTTTATCATAAACTCCTAAGACAAAGATAGTTAAGAAAAAAAACTGTAATTCTGGTTTGATCTCAGAATTCACTTTTATCTCGCAGAAAGTCTTGAAGGTGGCCAACAGGAAAAAAACTTCAGGATGAAAAAATGCAGTTTGTGATAAAGTCGACATTTCCAGGAGTTTTATTCATGTGTGAAAGGGGCTGAAGATCGCAGTACGTTGATACTACAGACCAGAAACCGTGTCGTTATTATGCTGATATCAAATGTTTAAAGGTTACTGAGAACTTGTGTACCGATGAAGATTTTACTGATTTTCCTGCTGCGTTGTTGTGTGGATGTATATTTAAACCAGCAAGAGCACTATCATAGTTGTTACCGTGTATTTGCACTTTAGTTTAGGTGCAACACTCGAGTAGTATTATTGAACATTCTGTCGGTGGACTTTTGAGAGATTACGTGTTTCTTCTTCTTTCCTGACTAAGCTGTGCTGTTACTGTCTAACACAGGATGCCTTTTAAAGTTCGTATGTGGTTGTTTTAGAAATCATGGAGACTTAAATCTGGAATAAACTTTATTTTTAAGTGAACAAGAATGACAACAAAAAGGACAATATTTGTTTTTAGTTAGTTTGATGGTAAAAGGCCAAACAGGAAACTCTCACACACACACACTCTTAGTTGTAGGTCATGTATCTGGGTGTGGCGCTGAATTTGGCGTAGGACTTGATGACCTTGTTAACGGCCTCCAGGAAGTCTTTCTCCGTGGCGATCTTCCTGCGAGCTCTGATGGCGAACATGCCGGCCTCTGTGCACACGCTGCGGATCTCCGCACCTGAGGACGAAACAAACAAAGGTTTAATTTTTAAAAATAAACTCCCTGAGGACCAACAGAAACAAGAGTGTAAACAATCAGCCCCTCGTGAAGCTGTGAGCTTTTGTTTGAACTTTTTAGGCGCAGCTAAAACTTTTATGGAGAGGCGATGAAACAGAAAAAAATGTCTGATTACCCAGAATTCATTCACTCAGTTAAAGAGAGAGTTTATGTCTTTATGAATAGAAGATGATCGTTTTTTTACAGGTTGTCAAAGGACAAAAGGGCATGAAATATCCAGGGCACAGAGCAGGGCGCAGCACACGTTAAAGATTTTACTGCACCGATGGTTGAGTTCAAACTTTAATGTTCTCTTGGATAGTCCAAGTCTAATGGGTTGAATCTTCAGGGTTGTAAAGTCCAGAATTCTGTATAAATCTTAAAGAACAGTGCCCCCTTGTGGTAAGACATCAGAGCTACAGTAGTGGACGAATGTTTACAGGGAAAGTTGTTAGAGGAAAACTAGGCGACAAGTCGTGTTGTTTTTGGTGGCCTGTTTTAATTTTGTTTTTAGTCTTTGTGTCAAACTGTCACTTAAGTTTTTGTTAGTTTTAGACACGTTCAAACTCATTTTTGTTTAGTCAAACTTTATTCGACTAAAACTCTGAGTGTTTTAGTTTTAGTCAGAATAACCGTTGACGAAAACTGTTGACATTTTAGTTTTGGTCAATGATTTTAATCTCTTTTCAGTAATGTAACTTTGTTTTACCTAGTTAATATAGTAGAATTACCCAGTATAGTGTAGAATAGATCAAACCAAATTTTCCTTTTAGTCAAACCCATCTCACAAATCAAACATGGTTATCCTATTATTATATTATTTTTACTTTATAGACTGAAGAAAACAAGAAAACATCCATTCCAGACGTGGAAGATGCTTTGAGCAGACTGCACGCACACACACACACACACACACACACACACACACACACACGCTAGGCTGGACAGTGTAAAATATAAAGTGACGTTACATCGATGTTTTATTTACTTTGAGTTCAGCGTGGAAGACTTTGAGGTGTTTTTTTAGATTACTTTTTTCCTTTTTTTCTGCTATTTCCCAGTCACCTCTCTCCCTTTCTCTTTTTCCACGACTCATTCCGTTTTGTTTTCCACTTGTTTTGTAATTAAAGTGTGATATCATTTCTTATTTTTGTTCCCCGACAACCCGGCCATGACTCCAACTCACCCAAAAACGTCTTTGCCCACCGCATTTAAAAATACAGCAAATTAGGGGATTGAGGATGAGTCTGAGCAGGGCGACGCACGGCCGAGGAAACAGAAAACAAGAACAACGCGGCTGAACAATTTCGTCCCGTTTTAGTCACCGAAATTTTAGCAGTTTTTATTTCGTGAACCACATTTAGTCTCGTTTTTATTCATCAACAATATTGCATAGTTATAGTTATTGTCAGAGGACCACAATTTACGTTTCGTCTCGTTTTCGTCTCGTGATAAAGGTTCGTTGACGAAAGCGACACTAGCGACAGGATGACAACTTTGAAATCCTTTTTTAACGTCCCAGCGTGTGGACTAAAAGTAAACTGATGTCAAACTTTCCCTCGGAGGTCAAGAGTTTTTCTGATCAGCTCAAAGAATATAGACGTTAACAAAGAGATCGGCGCCTCTCTCTCAGTCTTACCTGTGCTGTTGGGGCAGAGCCGAGCCAGCAGCTCAAAGCGAATGTCTCTCTCTACACTCATGGAGCGAGCGTGGATCTTAAAGATGTGGGTGCGACCCTGAAACGGCGAGCAGACAGATGAGAGGAGGACAACATTCACAGTTTAAAAGTCGACTCGTGATATCTGAAGGTCATCTCACCTCCAGATCGGGCAGACTGAACTCGATCTTCCTGTCCAGACGTCCGGGTCTCATCAGAGCCGGGTCCAGGGTGTCCGGTCTGTTGGTGGCCATCAGCACTTTGATGTTTCCTCGGGGGTCGAAGCCGTCCAGCTGGTTGATGAGCTCCAGCATGGTCCTCTGAACCTCGTTGTCTCCACCGGCGCCGTCATCGAAGCGAGCGCCTGGCAGGTTGAGAAACAAAAGACAAGAATCAAATTAAAGGAGAATTCTGTTTTTTCTAAACCTCGACCTCGTGTGACGTATTTCAGGACAGAAAACTTGGAAGTGTGGTGAAGGAAACCAGAACAAACATGCAGATCTAGATGCTGCCTTTGAAACCGGAAACCTTTGGCCGACTCTCTCCAAAGTCCCGACAACCAGCTGATAAAAACTTTCACTTCAACCCTCTAAAAACAGGAGTCAGCGCGCTCAGCTTTACCTCCAATGGCGTCGATTTCATCGAAGAAGATCAGACAAGCCTTCTTGGTCCTGGCCATCTCGAACAGCTCACGCACCATCCTGGCCCCCTGAAAACGAGAAACCGGAGTGAGCGTCAACGTCATCAGGATTCACAGATTAGAGCAGCTGCTGTCGTCTGTCCGCCGTGATCCTCACCTCTCCCACATATTTCTGCACCAGCTCCGAGCCGATCACTCTGATGAAGCAGGCGTCGGTCCTGTTCGCCACGGCGCGGGCGCACAGGGTCTTTCCTGTGCCGGGAGGGCCAAACAGCAGCACACCTTTGGGTGGCTCGATACCCAGATTGACAAACCTCTCAGGCTGAAGAGAAAAGGACAGAAACGAACGGTACGATCAGTCTAGAGAACTCTTTAAACTCTGAAAGCTTCAGTCGCTCCGTGTCTTCGTTTACGGACTCACATGGAGCAGTGGGGTCTCCACCACTTCCCTCAGCTTCTCGATCTGCTCCTTACATCCACCCACATCGCTGTAGGTGACATCAGGCTTCTCCTCCACCTGTAACATGAGAACAAAGCTTTAGAAAATAACACGAAAAATCTCCGCTCCTAAAAATAAGAAGTCAAAGAGTCGTGTTGTTGATTCACACCTGCATCATGGTGACAGTGGGGTCAATCTTAGGAGGCAGGGGGATGTGGATCTGATACTTGTTTCTGTCGACACTGCGTAGATAGAAAAACACAATCAGTTAGTTAACATTGATGAGACTTTGAAACAGTATTACAGACTTTAAATGAACCCTCCTCTCGCCTTACCCGACTCTCATGCCCTCCTCAATGTCAGTTGGAGCCACCTGGTCGCTCAGGTCGACCACAAACTTTGCAAACTGTTTCACGTTGATGATGTACTTCGGGTCCTCGGAGTCTGCGTTGATGATTTTTGTGCATCTGTGTGACGCAGAAACAAACATTTGAGATTTCATAACCGATAAACCGGACAAATATGCATTTTTACAAAGACCAAAGATGTCTCTGCGATGGGAAGAAGACTCAAACAGCGACAGAGTTTTCCAAAATCATGACTCCAGTTGCTTTACCTTGCGACCTGCAGCGGCTGTTCACTCTGCAGAGTCTGTTTGTCAGCAGCCAGATCCCAGAGAGCTGGTGGAGCCAGACCCGTGTCGGACTCTTTAATGCCTGAAAAAGACAAAAAACAACAAACAGGAATATTTGTGAAAACTTTAAAATGATAATGCAAAACAAGATGCTTTAAATACACAGAAATAAATGTATGAGTCTGACTCTGACTCTACACTGAGAGCCTGCTGAGGGTAGGATGGATGCAAATTCAGGAACACACACACACACACAAACTTAAAGGGATATTCCAGTGTAAATTTAAGTAATAGACAAACACACCGTAACACTGAGTTAGACACCCCCTCCAGAGATAAATGTTTCCGACCGCTTGATTCTCTAGTTCTTCTTCTTCACCTACTCTCTTCCAGCAGCCGCTGTTTTGGCAAGACCCTGGGCCAGTCCGCTACAGACTACAGCGGGGTGACGCAGCTCAAGGAAGAACATTTATGATCATTTCTTTATCATTTCCTTGCATCATATTAATCATTTTCCTCTGCAGACGCTGTAGTTCTTCTGCCTTAGCGTCTCAGTCTGATTGTATTTCCATAAAGAAATGATCATAAATGTTTTTCCTTGAGCTGCGTCACCCCACTGTAGTCCGTAATGGACTGGCCTGAGGTCTCGCTACAAACAATCGGCTGCCGGAAGAGAGTAGGTGAGTTGTATTTAGTCTCTTTGTTAAAGAAATTAGTCAAATTTAAAAGATGTTTGGTGTCTAGTACTATGGCTGGGACCCTATATGTCCTGTTGATGAAGTTAGGTGCTGTTCTGAGCATTATTTGAGGCTATAGAGTGGCGTTTTTGGTTGAGGGCGTGGCTCTCTGTATTGCTATCCTGCGGTCGTTACTAAAGTCGGTATAATTAGAGAAGCAAGCGGTCGACAACATTCATCTCTGGAGGGGGGGTCTAACTCGGTGTTTGACTGTCACTTGATTTTAAGCCGCAATATCCCTTTAATGTCTTTTCGGTGTGGTTAGTCTGACTCACCTGTGAGCTCGTTGATCTTCTTCAGCAGCTGTTGGATGTCATCCTCCACCTGTTTGATCTGTCTGGAGTAAGTGCTCTGACCCTGATGGTAAACAACATTAAAACAACACAGAATATGAAGATTTAGGGCTTCTACTTCATCAATATATTTGATTAGTTTAAATGTATCAGAGACAACAAACAGGTCATCTTAAATTGATCCAAAAAAGGGAGAAATTGGAAGATGGACTTAAGTCAGTGGCATCTTTATGATCCCTCAGAGTTAACTTCCAGCATAAACCCAGGATACAGTAACACTTGGGTTAAATCTACCACATTATGATTAAAGAGACATATTCAGTCTCTCCTGTGATGTTGTTGTGGATCTTAGATAAACTCTGACTTACATATGTTTTCAGTAAGGCGATGTCTCCTTCATCCAGAGCTGAGAGGAGAAAAACATGAAAGATTGAACATTATTAAACTGTTATTAACTATTTAATCATTTCTTTTATCTTTTACTCTCTTATTTAAACACCTTATTGCGATAATAAAACTAAAAATGGTTTTAAAGTCAGGACGATGAAGCAGCAGTTTATTTACCGGACCGTGCTAACGCTAGCAAAGATGCTAATATCTATGTTCATTGTAAAAAGAATTTATCGTTATTCATCAACTTTAGCGGTTACCTCTGATAGGTGAGTCATCTTTTTCCTCTTCTTTAGTCTTCCTCTGGTCATCTCCTAAATAATCAGGCATTTTTTAACAGTTTATTTGACAGTTTCTCACAAAAACACCGAGCAGCTTCACTGACCGAACTGAACCATTACACAGCAGCTTTGAACTTCCGCTAATGAGAGCCGCTCACCGGAAACATAGATATATATGAGAAAGGCTAGATGAGGCGGAGTCACCGGCGTCCCTTCACGGCGGCCATCTTACTCCAGTATACCATGCTGGTACGTGCTATGGTAGCTGATATTGGGTGAATAATCTGCATGATCAAAAATACTCTTAACTCGCTGAAATCTTGACAGATTTATAAACGGTTTTGTTTATTACAAACCTTAATAACATGGCTATGAGCCGAGATGCTTGGGCATATTGAAATGGCAGATTTTCTTTGAACAGAGCCGGCCCAAGCCTCAATGGGCCCCAAGCAAAATTTGATTTGAGGGCCCTCTATTTCTGCACCTGATACAACTGATACAGCCTATGGGCGTTCAGGGATTGGGTAGCTCACCAGGGGGATACGCTGTTTGAGCCGAGCGTCATCACAGCGACTCACGGCGACTCTCCTGCCAAATGGGCACAATGCTACTGCGCTATGCTGGTATCAGGAAATGGAGAAGACAACGTGGAAATACAGAGAGCATTTTGGCTTCAAATCCGTGTACTGATGGAAGGTGGAACCAAGTTGTCCATAGTATATACAGTTTCTGGTGTAGGCCTATGGCTATTTCTCTACCTATCTGTTTAATGTTAATTTATTAAAATCCATGGTTAAAATTATTCTTGAGTATGCAGGGACATAACTAAAACTGTGAGGTTTGTTACAAACCAAACAGTTTAAAATTAATCAATCTATTGTTATTTGAATGTTACATGCACCGTAGACTGGAATGTTAGGAGTGTGCGAGTGTCCCGTAGCAAAATGGCCGCAATGCGCTGACGTCGGTCTCTATTGGCCAACAGCGTGCGTGAGTCATCTAGCGTTTATATATATATCTATGAACGGAAAAGTAGAGCGGAACATTTTGACGGGTGGACCACCAACAACAATTACCTCCAATCTTTTTAAATGATCACATTTAATATTTCACTAACAAACACCAATAATATGTTCTGAACTTCATTTTATATTACTTAGATTTAAAGAAAAGATCCACTGTTTGATATTACGCTTTAGCGGAGACGCGGAACCATCGCAACGAAGACGGACTAGATTAAGTGTGACACCGGAGCTCGTTTCGGATTGGCACTTGTAAAGGGAGGCCCATGTGGTGTGTAAATGAGCGGGCCACAAACTGCAGCACTTTAGAGAGCCTTCACTCGAGATTCGTGTCAGTTGGATGTTGGAGTAGTCCGGACGGAGAAAATGTTGCTGGAAGCGGCGGAAGGAGAGGAGACGGGAGTTTGTAGAGCCGCTGCCGGTAAGAAGTGAAGGAGGCCGAGAGAGGAGGAGGAGGAGGAGGAGGAGGAGGGAGCTAACCGGGCTAAGAGAGATAAATATAGACTACTGTGAACAGGCTCACACTCAAACTCTAGATATCTGCTATATTATGTCTTAATTCAAACCTTTACCTCTGTCTGTATTCTCCGTTATCTGTATTATTACTGGGTTTCTGTGTCTGTGTTGCATAATGTGGTTTAGCTGCTCCCACTCATGGCTGAACTCTCACTGATTTTAGGAGCTTAAATATTTAACAAACCTTCACTTTTCTAACATTTTAATGTTTTCTAATGTCTCTCTGTGTGTCTGTCAGTCTCTATAAGTCTGTTTCATAGTCTGTAAACACCTGTTGTACCTTCAAACACCTGACCCTCCTTTCTAAGAGCTGAAAATCAAAGTTATTTTACTCCCTAAATGATGAACTCTTTAATCTGGACATGATCTAATAAACAGGTTTAAACTCAGGGAGCAACAGGAGGCTGTGGTTTGATAGAATAAGATCCAATCCAGGCAGGAGGATACAGGTTTAAAGATGTTTTATATCTTTAATTCTTGATGGCCATTGTGCAAAATAAGATGAATCAGAAGAAAACAGGATAAAATCAAAGGAAAAGGTATAAAAGGACCATGTTTCTATTACAGTTATTATAGAAAATTTAAGAGATATTCTGTAGTAGAATTAATTTAGGGTCAAACCGAGTTAGACTCCCCTTAGAGAGATGAATGTTGTCGACCGCTTGCTTCTCTAGTTATACCAACTTTAGTAACGACCACAGGATAGTAATACACAGCGGTCTACGTCTAACCTGAACCAAAACGCCACTCTATAGCCACAAATAATGCTCAGAACAGCACCTAACTTCATCAACAGGACATATAGGGTCACAGCCATAGTACTAGGACTAAACACAACTCACCCACTCTCTTCCAGCAGCCACTTGTTTGTAGCGAGACCTCAGGCCAGTCCATTACGGACTACAGCGGGGTGTCGCAGCTCAAGGAAGAACATTTATGATCATTTCTTTATCATTTCCTTGAAGTAATAATCACCATATTAATCATTTTCACTGCAGACGCGGTAGTTCTTCTGTCTTAGCGTCTCGGTCTGATTGTATTTCAGTGAAGAAATTGATATCCCTTTAAACGCTCCTGTTAGGAACTCTTTGTTCCAGCTTTGGTGCCCTCGGTGGACGAAGCATTACTTGCATATCTCGTCCTCTAAATGCTTAAATAATGTCTCGTAATGGAAATTCTCATTCTGCTGATGCTTGACAGTCACATTTGTCCTTTTTATAGTAAATGAATTATGTGAAAAAAAAGAAAATAGGGTTTTTCCTTCAGCTGCTACTCTGACAGATTCCTCCACACCGTTTTCAGGCACTAAAATTACAGTATAAAAATCATCAGTCTGTCCTTGATGGTCTTGTTTGCTTTTGAATATCATGAAAATTTGTTTATAAATATCAGTCCATGAAATAAAAAATAAAAAAAAAAACTCGTTGGGAGCTTTAATTTTTGTAAAAGTTGTTGATTCAGGTTTTAATGAACCACCTTCCTGCCCCCCTTGCAGCCTCTGTGCAGGTCCAGGTGGAGCCGGTGGGTCGCTGGTTCGAGGCTTATGTGAAAAGGAGGAACAGGAGTACGTCTACCTCCTTCCAGGAACTTGAGGAGGAAGAGGAGTCTTCAGAGGAGGAAGAAGATGAGGAGTTTCAGCTGGAGGAGTACCCCATGCTCCGAACACTTGACCCCAAAGACTGGAAGGTACCGGGTCCGAAAGTTGATTCTTGGGAGGAGAAGTTTTTTCCTCTGTCACAGACTGCAGTACTTCTCAAATTCTAACACATCAACTTTAACCTGTTTGATTCTCCAGAATCAGGATCACTATGCTGTCCTCGGGCTGCCGCACCTGAGGTACAAAGCCACACAGAAGCAGATCAAAGCTGCCCGTGAGTACGATCGTCTGTTTTTGTCTCACTGATCGCTCATTATCAGACTAGATGACCTGTCGTCTCAGTGAAACTCTCTTCTGTTCCTGAACAGACAAAGCAATCGTGTTGAAGCATCACCCCGACAAGAGAAAAGCTGCAGGAGAGCAGATCGTAGAAGGAGACAACGACTACTTCACCTGCATAACTAAAGGTACGACACGCTCTTTTCATCGGTTTGTAACTTTGTCTTGAGGCTCCTGGTCTGACTGTTTTCTGTGATTTGTCATCGTTTGACCCTCAGCTATCGAAATCCTGTCGGACCCTGTGAAGAGGAGAGCCTTCGATAGCGTAGACCCGACCTTCGACAACGCCGTGCCTTCAAAAGCGGAAGGCAAGGAGAACTTTTTTGAGGTTTTTTCACCGGTTTTCGACCGAAACGCCCGGTGGTCTTCTAAAAAGCACGCGCCCAAATTCGGAATGCTCGACTCGTCGTTCGAAGACGTCGATAATTTTTACTCTTTTTGGTGAGTGAAAAAGTTGAAGACATGTTTGTGAATCTTCTCTGTCAGAGGAGAAGATCAGCGTCTTGAATCAATGTTTCTATTTCAGGTATAACTTTGACTCATGGAGGGAATTCTCCTACTTGGACGAAGAGGAGAAGGAAAAGGCTGAATGGTAAGCTGGTGCATGCAGCACTTTGTCGAACAGAAACACACTTTGAAATGTCTCATGAACGTGTTTGAACTTCTCTCGCAGTCGAGATGAGAGGAGATGGATCGAGAAGCAGAATCGAGCCTCCAGAGCTCAGAGGAAAAAGGAGGAGATGAACAGAATAAGAACACTAGTCGGTACGCTCTCTGAATGAAGCAGAACAGCTGGAAGTATCTTAAAACCACACAAAGCTGTTGAGTTTTTCGTAACAACGTCTTTTGTCCTCTGCAGATACGGCGTACAGCTGTGACCCTAGAATAAAAAAATTCAAAGAGGAAGAAAAAGCTCGGAAAGAATCGGAGAAGAAAGCCAAAGCCGACGCCAAGAAGAGGGAGCAGGAGGAGAAGGAGAGGGTATGTTGGATAATTCCTCAAACATCGTTTTATGAGATCGGAGAAGCGAACCGCTCACTGCTGAGTGTCGGAGTATTCAGTGACTCATCCTGATGTCCTTCAGGTTCGACAGGCAGAGCTGGAGGCGGCTCGTTTGGCCAAAGAAAAGGAGGACGAAGAGGCCAAACAGGCGGCTCAGCAGGCCAAGAAGGAGAAAGAGATCCAGAAGAAGGCCATCAAGAAGGAGAGGCAGAAACTCAGGACCACCTGCAAGGTTCCTACATCCTTCACTCTCCCTCTGAAGCTTCACACGCTTTTCACTTTAATCATCAAACTCTCTGATATAAGAGGAGAATCTGTCTTCAGGTTCAATAATATTCTCTCAGAGCCTCGAACTCAGAAGCTTTAAACACTTTTATTAAACTCTGAATATGATGAGATTTCCTCTTTATTACTCTGAACTGTTGTCCGTAAATAAGTGGATCTAAATAATCTGAGATATCCTGGAAAAAGTTCATTTTGGTTTAATAAAAAATCAGGAATATAATCAAATATTTTGGACATTTAAAGTGAAATATTCCACTTTATTTTTTTGTTTTGATTTAGTTATTTTAGCTTTCCTCAGATCGTCTCGATGTGTTTAAATCCCCAAAAGTTAAAATCCTGAAGCGTTAATTCATTTATACTCTGAATACTTAACCATGAATCACCGCCTCAGTGCGGTGTGGCCTGGAGGCGTTCAGCCTGTCGCTCTGCTGAGTTTTATTGAAGCCCACGTCGCTCTGACAGCGTCCTCCAGCTGCTCTCTGTCTCTGGGGTTTGACTGTTTCTCATTTTCCTCTCGACTCACATCCCTCAGATTGTCTCTGGGGTTCAGGTTCAGACCAGTCGGTGGTAATTTTGGTGTTGTGAGCAGGTGTCAAGTCTTTTTATCACCTTTTTATTCTGGAGTGATGTTTGTTTGGATTAAATCAAGAGGATTGAATGGAGATAATTTGTCTTTTTCACTCTGTTTTTCACAAACAGTCATCTAAGAAACTCTTAATCCAGCGGGTAGTTTTTAATACACATTTTCATCCAATCCAATCCAGGTTTATTTAAAAACAACAAAATGCTGACCAAAGTGCTGTACAGTAAATTAAAAATAGACAATTAACGCGAACAATAAAACAGAGACACAGGAGCACGTTAAAAACAGGAGGACAGAGCTGGTTCTGTCAAAACAGGATTAAAAGACCGAGTTCTCAGGAGTCAAAAAAGAGTAAAACAGGCGGTGAGGGGGACAGACGGACATGAAGAGGAAGAGCGTTCAGAGTTTAGGCGCAGCGACGGTAAAAACTCGGTCACCGCTGAACTTTAACCTTGACCTCGGGACAGTCAGAAGGTCAGAGGATCTGAGAGTCCGAGATGAAATATAGGTAGAGCGAGCCCGTTTTAAGATTTATAAATTAATAACAAAATGTTAAAATCAATCCTGAAACGCACAGGAAATTCCTAAAATAGAGGAAATGTGGTCAGATTTACGGCGGCCAGATAAAACACGAGCTGCAGTATTTTGAAGGATTAAGAGAGGTTCGGCTCGCACAAAAACAAAGTGCATTACAATCATCAAGACGAGTCGTGATAAAAGCATGTGTAACCTTCTCAAAATCACTAAAAGATAAAAAAGACTTTTCATGTCTTATGTTTTGTGAGTAATACGTAAGTGAAGTAAAAACAAAGAAGATTGGGAATGTCTCGTCCTGTCGTATTATTTTCTTTAGACTTCGGCCTCCTGATGTGAACATTTCAGACCTCTCACCAAAGCCGACATCTTGTAAAAACAAGTCTTTTCAGAGAGAGGACTCTTTCTTTCTTTCTTTCTTTCCTCCTTTTACAGAGATTTTGGTTGATGTTGTTTTCTCTGTCCACACAGAACTGGAACTACTTTGCTGACAACGAAGCAGAAAGTGTGAAAATGATGGAGGAGGTGGAGAAGCTGTGCGATCGACTGGAGCTTGCGAGGTACAAACAGAAACATTACGGCTGATTTAAAGTGACTCCACGATCATTTCTTTAGAGAGTTGGTTCATTTGAATCCAATTGAAACGATTATTGATCCTTCTGTCGTGTTCAGTGATCGATCGTTCAGAATCAGTCAGGAAGCAGCCTGTAAATTAAGTTTATCTGCTCCTCTGTTTCCAGTCTGCAGTCCCTGAATGAAGTCCTGGCCACAGGTTCAAAGGAGGACAGTAAGACGGCAGTGGAGAAGCAAGTAAGACACATTTTCAAGGTTTCTCTTCTAAATCAGGACGCAAGAAATTAATATTTAGTAAATTATGTCAATATGTTTCTTGATTAATCAGATCTGGTGGATTAAATATTTAAGAGTCTGTGATAATTGAGTCCAGAGTTTGAGACGACATCCTGTTATAACCCCCCCTCAGGTCCAGGAGGTGAACGCTCAGCTGCAGAAGGAGCGGGAGGCGGAGGTTCAGGCGAGGCAGGCGGCTCGCAGCGCCGAACAGGCCAGCGGGGGAGGAGGGGGAGGAGGAGGGAAGGGCTGGAACGAGGACGACCTTCAGCTGCTCATCAAAGCTGTTAATCTGTTTCCTGCTGGAACCAACGCCAGGTATGAACGCTCGACGCCTGCAGGACAGGATGTGTTTTCAGGGTCAGACCTGAAGAGAAATGAACACACGATCCCTGTGGTGAAGAAGAGAAGAAAACTGACGAGTGCTGAAAAAAAACATGTTCCTGCTGTTTATTTATGGGAAAAAAACAGGATTATTACAAACTGCTTTTAGTTCATTTGTCTGTTTACATCCAAGTTTCTCCAAAAGTTCAGTCCTTGACTCTTTGCAAATTTATTAAGGCAGCAAATGCAAAAAAAAAATTGTAAACTACAAAGTTTTATTTCCACTCGCTGCAGATCAACAACATCCACCGGAGCAAACCTAAAGTGTTTTTAATCTGACCTGAGCACGAGTCAGGAAGACGCCAAAGTTTTCAGAAGTAAAATATTATAAAATAATTAGGGGGAAGTTTCGATTTGTGAGACGGAGTAAAGGAACAATTGTTGTTTTTATAAAAATGGAAACTGTTCGTTCTGTTTGGATTTACCTCGCAGTAAAATATGAGCTCGTTCCCAAATGCAGAACTAAACGTTACAGAAACATCTTTGTTCCTGCTGCTATTATTGAAGTGAACAAGCTGTACAGATCTTGCACAGAATTTTGCACAATTAGCTCATACTGCGGAGGTATTATTCACTTACTTATGTTGGTTTTAAACTTGTTTTACCTTGGTTTGTATCCAGAGGTTGTTTATTTGCATTTTTTGATGTACTGACGCTTGTGTCCTGACTGGGGAGCCTTTGGGTGCTTTTATCATGTGTCTGTTTTGTGGTTGGTTTATATTTGTACTGTAACTTATATAAATGGACGTTATCACTTTATTTCACTGCAGAATAAATCTACTTTCGGGTATTAATACAGTAACCTGAACCTGAACCATTCTTCCTCTCAGGTGGGAAGTTATCGCCAACTACATGAACCTGCACTCCACCAGCGGCATGAAGAGGACCGCCAAAGACGTCATCAACAAAGCGAAGAACCTGCAGCGGCTCGGTGAGCTGATGTCTGACATGAATCACACATGATTTCCACATAGATATACATCGATAGATCTGTTTCTGTCGAGCATGTTTGAAGGACAAAATAGTTCAATCGAGATGATAAAAAGGTAAAATGATGAATGATTTTATTTTCAACCTCAAGAAAGAGAAGTTAAAAACAGACCTGAGTAAAATAAAAAAAAACTGAGACTTGATGAAACAACATCATCAGACTCCTTTATTATCACATTTATATCAGGAAGAACAAATATTGTCTTAACTAGAGAACTTGGTAATTTTTGTAGCTGCGGATAAAGAGTAACGTTCTGTCTTGTCCGTGTCCTCTGCAGATCCAGTCCAGAAAGATGAGATTAATAGAAAAGCCTTTGAGAAATTCAAGAAGGAGCACTCCTCAGTCCCGACGACCATCGACAACGCCGTGCCCTCAGAGAGGTTCGATGGTGAGTGAAAATCTGATCATCAAGTACCTCCATGTTTGGTGAATCGCTCTCATAATGAAACGGTCACTGACCTGCTCTGTGTCCCTGCTCAGCCTCTGGTGGTGATGGTAATGCTGCTCCCTGGACCACAGAGGAACAGAAGCTTCTGGAACAGGCCCTGAAGACCTACCCAGTCAGCACACCAGAGAGGTGGGAGAAGATCGCTGCTGCCGTCCCGGGAAGAAACAAGAAAGACTGTATGAAGAGGTACAAGGTAAGAAGACGCTGGATTTCACTGAATAAAGATGAAGGCTGTGTTTGTCTAGATGTTATTGATTATGGATCCGTTTCTTTCTCTCCTGCAGGAGCTGGTGGAGATGGTCAAAGCCAAGAAAGCTGCACAGGAACAAGTGGCAGCAAAGAGTAAAAAATGACAAGAACCACAAAGAATAGTATCTGTGTTATTTTAACATTATTGTGTTGGTCTTTATTTTATAATAAAAAGTAAAGGAGGAAAAATTCTACAGATGAAGCTTCTTAAAGAGTTTGTTCTGTTTGAATACTGTACAGCTGCTTCACTACACTGTCCTCAGATCAGATCCTCTCAGGGTCTCATCCAGAACATCCCACTGCAGATCTGGTCGTAGTCTGACAGCTGTTCGATCGGACCTGAAAACACAGAAACAAGTTGGATTTGATTAAACAGTTTATCAAGCAGCGAGAAAAAAACAACTCGTTTTCTGGTGTTCCCTCTCTCCTGTCCTTTTTCAAATAAAGGAAGAAAAATCAACAACAGTAACCTAACAACAGCTGCAATGGCAGGAGTCTTGTTGTAGATGTATTTGGTGCATCTAAATCCTCTCTATCCAATCATATATCTTTATTAGAGTTAGAGCAGATGTTTAAAATCTCTGGAAAACTGGATCAAACAAGATCTTTATTTGTTTAATACTTTCAAAAAAGGGGATTTACAAAGTGCTTCGGTTTGCATAAATCATAAAGACAAAAATGACACAAACTCCTACACAAGACATCCCCTAAACAACATCAAGAACCCAGAGAACACAGAAGAAACCAAGAGCTTTATATGAAGCTCAGAAAAATTATTAAAACACCAAAACCCTGCGGGATTTAAACCCAGGTATAGTATTTTTAACAAACTACACTATGACAGTTTTATCATACTATACTATGACATTTATTTTCATGCTAAAATATGATTTTTTTTTTACCATAAAATTTGAAAATGTTGACATACTATACTGACATTTTTTCATGCTAAAATATGAAATTTCTTAACTATAAAGCTTGAATATTATAACATACTATACTATGACATTTATGACGTTTTTTCATGCAAAAAATTAACTTTTTTCCCACACTTATTTTCGTGCTAAAATATGAAAAAAATTCACCCTAAGATTTGAAATTTTTAACATGCTATACTATGCCATTTATTTTAATGCTAAAATATGAAAAAAAATCATAAAATTTGAAGATTTTGACATACTATACTATGACATTTTTATCATACAATACAATGAAATTTTTTTCATGCAAAAAAAGGAATTTTTTTCTCACACTCAAATTTGACATTTTCAACATAATATACTATGACATTCTTATCATACTATACTATGACATTTATTTTCATGCTAAAAAATGAAATATTTTTTTTCACCCTAAAATTTGAAAATTTTGACATACTATACTATGACATTTTTTTCATGCTAAGTAATAAAATTTTTGCTCACCCTAAAATTTGAAATTTTTAACATGCTATACTATGACATTCTTATGACATTTATTTTCATGCCTAAATATGAATTTTTTTTTCACCCTAAAATTTGACATTTTTAACATGCTATACTATGACATATTCATCATACTATACTGAAATTTTTTCCATGCTCAGTAATAAAATTTTTGTTCACCCTTAAATTTGAAGTTTTTAACATACTATACTATGACTTTTTTATCATACTATACTATGACATTTTTTTAATGCAAAAAAAGTAATTTTTTTCTCACACTCAAATTTGACATTTTAAACATACTGTACTATGACATTCTTATCATACGATACTATGACATTTATTTTCATGCCTAAATATTAAATTTTTTTTCACCCTAAAATTTGAAATTTTTAACATGCTATACAATGACATATTTATCATACTATACTATGTCAACTATGAAATATTTTTTCACCCTAAAATTTGAAAATTTTGACATCCTATACTATGACATTTTTTTCATGCTAAACTATAAAATTTTTGTTCACCCTTAAATTTGAAGTTTTTAACATACTATACTATGACTTTTTTATCATACTATACTATGTCATTTATTTTTATGCAAAAAATTAACTTTTTTCTCACACTCAGATTTGACATTTTAAACATACTATACTATGACATTCTTATCATACTATACTATGAGATTTTTTTTCATGCAAAAAAAGGATTTTTTTTCTCACACTCAAATTTGACATTTTAAACATACTATACTATGACATTCTTATCATACTATACTATGACATTTATTTTCATGCCTAAATATGAAATTTTTTTCACCCTAAAATTTGAAATTTTTAACATGCTATACTATGACATATTTATCATACTATACTATGTCATTTATTTTCATGCTAAAATATGAAATATTTTTTTTCACCATAAAATTTGAAAATTTTGACATACTATACTATGACATTTTTATCATGCTAAAAAATGAAATATTTTTTTTCACCCTAAAATTTGAAAATTTTGACATACTATACTATGACATTTTTTTCATGCTAAGTAATAAAATTTTTGCTCACCCTAAAATTTGAAATTTTTAACATGCTATACTATGACATTCTTATGACATTTATTTTCATGCCTAAATATGAATTTTTTTTTCACCCTAAAATTTGACATTTTTAACATGCTATACTATGACATATTCATCATACTATACTGAAATTTTTTCCATGCTCAGTAATAAAATTTTTGTTCACCCTTAAATTTGAAGTTTTTAACATACTATACTATGACTTTTTTATCATACTATACTATGACATTTTTTTAATGCAAAAAAAGTAATTTTTTTCTCACACTCAAATTTGACATTTTAAACATACTATACTATGACATTCTTATCATACGATACTATGACATTTATTTTCATGCCTAAATATTAAATTTTTTTTCACCCTAAAATTTGAAATTTTTAACATGCTATACAATGACATATTTATCATACTATACTATGTCAACTATGAAATATTTTTTCACCCTAAAATTTGAAAATTTTGACATCCTATACTATGACATTTTTTTCATGCTAAACTATAAAATTTTTGTTCACCCTTAAATTTGAAGTTTTTAACATACTATACTATGACTTTTTTATCATACTATACTATGTCATTTATTTTTATGCAAAAAATTAACTTTTTTCTCACACTCAGATTTGACATTTTAAACATACTATACTATGACATTCTTATCATACTATACTATGAGATTTTTTTTCATGCAAAAAAAGGATTTTTTTTCTCACACTCAAATTTGACATTTTAAACATACTATACTATGACATTCTTATCATACTATACTATGACATTTATTTTCATGCCTAAATATGAAATTTTTTTCACCCTAAAATTTGAAATTTTTAACATGCTATACTATGACATATTTATCATACTATACTATGTCATTTATTTTCATGCTAAAATATGAAATATTTTTTTTCACCATAAAATTTGAAAATTTTGACATACTATACTATGACATTTTTATCATGCTAAGTAATAAAATTTTTGTTCACCCTTACATTTGAATTTTTTAACATACTATACTATGACATTTTTATCATACTATACTGACATTTTTTTCATGCAAAAAAAGTACTTTTTTTCTCACACTCAAATTTGACATTTTAAACATACTATACTATGACATTCTTATCATACTATACTATGACATTTATTTTCATGCCTAAATATGAAAAAATTTTCACCCTAAAATTTTAAATTTTTAAAATGCTATACTATGACATTCTTATCATACGATACTATGACATTTATTTTCATGCCTAAATATGAATTTTTTTTTCACCCTAAAATTTGACATTTTTAACATGCTATACTATGACATATTCATCATACTATACTATGTAACTTATTCTCATGCTAAACTATGAAATTTTTTTTCACCCTCAAAGTTGAAAATTTTGACATACTATACTATGACATTTTTTTCATGCAAAAAAGTAAATTTTTTCTCACACTCAATTTTGACAATTCAAACATACTTTACTATGACATTATTATAATTCTATACTATGAAGTTTATTTTCATGCCAAAATGTGAATTTTTTTCACCCTCAAATTTGAAAATTTTGACATACTGTACTATGACATTCTTATCATACTATACTATGACATTTATTTTCATGCCTAAATATGAAATTTTTTTTCACCCTAAACTATGAAATTTTTAACATACTATACTTTGACATTTTTATCACACTATACTATGACATTTTTTCATGCTAAGTAATAAAAAAATTTCTCACACTCAAATTTGACATTTTAAACATACTATACTATGACATTCTTATCATACTATACTATGAAATTTTTTTCATGCAAAAAAGTAAATTTTTTCTCACACTCAAATTTGACAATTCAAACATACTTTACTATGACATTCTTATAATTCTATACTATGAAGTTTATTTTCATGCCAAAATGTGAATTTTTTTCACCATAAAATTTGAACATTTTATCATACCATACTGACAATTTTTTTTAACTATATTTTTATCTCACTTTACAATAATTTTTATCCCTAACTACGATTTTTTTTAACATACAATACTATGTCATTTTTTCTCACTCTGACATGATATCTTTATCATACTATATATACTATGATATTTCAAAACACATATTCAATATAGTATAGTATATAACATATTTAACTTGCTATAATTTTAAATTTTTATCTCACTTTACAATGATAATTTTCATCCTTAACTTTGATTTTTTTAACATACAACACTATAACATTTTTATCATACTACACTATAATATTTTACTCATGCTATACTGTCACGACCCAAGTCACACAAAGAAACGGGGATGACATGGTCAACACCAACTTTAATCATTTATTACAAAATAAATATTTAAGCAACAAAATTGATGAGCTGTGTGCGTCAGGTTGTCAGTGTGTCTGTTGTTGGATGAGTGAAAGATGTGTGTGTGCAGCATGTTTTCAGGTGTAAAACTAAAGTCCAGAGGAGGGCGAAGCCAACTAAACATAACCCCGCTGCCACACGGAGCATCTGATGAGGATGACAGAGAAAGAGAGCGGGTCGACAGCCTGGTCATTTAAACCCTGAGAGGAAGGAACTCCCAGGTGCAGCTAAACCCCGCCTCCCATCAACCTGCAAAAGAAACAAGAAGAAACAGGAAAAGTCAGAACAGTCAGAAAGTCCTGACGAGCCCTTAGGGTCGTCAAATTATTATTATATTTTTAACATATTATTCTAGAATAATTTATAATACTAAACCATGATTTTTTTAATATACTATAATACTACACTTTTTGTCAAACTATACTATGACATTTTTATCATACTATACTATGACATTTGTTTTATCATACTATACCAGGACATTTTTAACATACTATTCTATGACATTTTTATCTAACTTTGCTTTGAGAATTTTATCACACTATACTTTGATTTTTAAACATACTATACTATTACATTTTTTATCATACCTTATTATTCTTACTGTGATATTTTCATCATTCTATACTATATTCTATAAACCCCAACTAATGATGTGTTTAACATCCTATACCATGATATTTTTATAATACTATAATATTTTCATCAAAATATACTGTGAACTTTTTTCATACTATGATATTTCAAACATACTATACTATGAAATTTTTACAGTACTATACAATGACAACTTTAACATACTATAGTATGGCATTTATATACTATATACTATAATTTCTTATAATAGATTTTTATAATATATACTAAACTATATTTTATACTTATACTATACTGACATATATTTTTATCATACAGTACTATGATTTTTTTTAACATACTACATACTTATGTATGTAGTACATAGTACATCTAGTACATCTTAACATACTTATCTATGATTTGTTGAACATACAGAGGTACCAACCATCACAAAGATTGGGGCTGCTGTGGAGAGCATTGCAACATACCTCAGTTCAGAAGAAGCATCCTTCAAATAGCTGTCCTCCTCCTCCTCCTCCTCTGCGTACCGTAGCGGCCGTTTCATATATTACTACACATTTACAACTATATATAACTACATTTCTTCACAAAACACTATTTTACTTGCTCTGTATTACTTCACTCTTACTCCACTCTCTTTTTCTCTCTCATCTTCTGTCAAAGCTGCGGTTTGGTTGTACTGTTTAAGATTACCGTAGTATACACCATAGATCATATCTTGACAAAAAGCACAGATTCTCAGCTGCCTGTCAGCGCTGGAATTTTCCAGGTTTTCCAAGGAGTTACGGTATTGAGAAGCTGTGTGAGTAAAAAATGACAAGAACCACAAAGAACAGTATCTGTGTTATTTCAACATTACTGTGCTGGTCTTTATTTTATAATAAAAAGTAAAGGAGGAAAAATTCTACAGATGAATCTTCTTAAATAGTTTGTTCTGTTTGAATACTGTACAGCTGCTTCACTAAACTGTCCTCAGATCAGATCCTCTCAGGTTCTCATCCAGAACATCCCACTGCGGATCTGGTCGTAGTCTGACAGTTGTTCGATCGGACCTGAAAACACAGAAACAAGTTGGATTTGATTTAACAGTTTATCAGTACGGGGTGTTTAGTAGTTTGTGATAAGCGCTGTATCATTAATAATAACTTTATTTATATAGAAGTTTAAAAAAAAAAAACAAGGGTTTACAAAGTGCTTTGACATGCAGGAAAACTAAGCGAACTCGTTTCTGGTGTTCCCTCTCCCCTGTCCTCTTCAAATAAAGGGAAAAAAATCATTAACAGTAACCTACCAACAGCTGCAATGGCAGGAGCCTTGTTGTAGATGTATTTGGTGCACACGTCCTTAATAGTCTTGGCATCTATGGCCTGTTAAAGAGAAGAAAAAACAAGTAAGAAGTAACCCTCTGAATCCTCTGAAAAGGAATTTACAAAGTGCTTCAATTTGCATAAATCAAACAAAAAAAACAGCGAAAAAATGACACACAACCCCACACAAGAAATTCCCCGAACAACATCAAGAACTTGAAGAACACATAAGAAACCAAGAACTTTATATATAGTTCAAAAAAATCATAAAAACACTAAAACCCTGCTGGATCTGGACCCTCGTTGTCAGATCACTTCATCTACTCACATCGATCCTCGCCTCCAGCTCGTGCAGAGGGATCCTCCGACTGTAGCACAGCATCTGTCTGCCGATGTCCTCACAGATGGGGGTGGAGCCTGGAGAGAGCGGATGAACATGTTAGATCAGCAGAGAATAACACCTGATGTTTTCATGATCCTCAGAGGAGCGGCCTCACCGTCCAGGTGCAGGAGCATGTTCGTCTTCAGCAGGTTTTTCGCTCTGGCCACCTCGCTGTCCGTCACACTCGTGCAGAGAGACATCCTGATGAGAGGAGACGGGTTTCATTTCCAGATCTGATCACATTAGCTCTAAAGATCTCAGGCTGTAGATTTGAACTCAATCTCTCCTCACCACTCCATCTGAGTGAAGTGCATCATCTCTTTGATGGTCCCCGGCTCACACACCATGTAAAGCCCCCACAGCCCCGTGTCTGTGTAGCAGGTGTTGAAGGACTGGAAGCTGTGGCACAGGTTTCCCTGGCAGGCCATCTGAGCCAGTTTACTGGACAGATTCTGGGACAGAGAGAGAGAGAGAGAGAGAGAGAGAGAGAGAGAGAGAGAGAGAGAGAGAGAGAGAGAGAGAGAGAAGTCAAACGTGGACAGAGTCTGTGTGAAGCTGAAACTGAAATACAGGGTCATCTGTACTCACCACGCCTCCACCGAACGAGCGATCCCAGTTTCCGATCAGTGTGTTCGCCACCATGAGAGGGATGGTGTCGGGGTGCGACCAGCCGACCGCCTCCACTGCGATGGCGATGTGAGCCAGAGGCATCTTATCGTCACGAACACGAATCTGAAGAGACAGTTTGACCTCCGTGATTTTTCCACTGATGGTGATTCAGAATAAAGTTTCACCAGATAATCCAACAGATCCAGAGTTTCTTTACTTCAGTTCATCAGACGATAAAGAGGAGGAACGAATATTTTCTGATGCAACCTTTTAAGAAAGAGCTTAATTTTGTAAAGATTACAAAATACACTCATTGGAGATAGTTTCCAGTTCCTGTTTATGTTTTAAGTTAAGGCCACTCATCATATTTTTATCATACATGAGTAAAAACCAGCAAACACATTAGTCTAACATTAGAAATTTAACCTTTTTACACAAGTCTAAGATAAACGTTGTCATCTCAGCTGTAAGATTTCAAGCTTACCTCACTTCCTGTGAAGTCACACGGAGGAAGTGACGGAGCTTCACCTTTATATCTGCCGGGGAGTTTTCCAAAATGATACTTTGCGAGATCGATGAGTTCATCCTGAGACACTCCTGATTTAAAGCACAAAAAACACACAAAGTTAAATCGTCTCAACAGTAACAACAGTCAAGGTTATTCTTCTTTTGTTTTAGTCTTTGAAAAAGTGAACTGATCCATTTGTGTTCTTTAAAGCAGCTGACTGATGAACAGCACTGACCTCCAGCTGCAGCCAGCACGATTCTGGGGCCTTTGTAGTGAGTGGTGATGTACTCCACCAGGTCTCCTCTGTTGATCGTCCTGCAATCGAACACACAACACTTCAAGAACCAAAAAGCAGAAGAGAGAGAGTTAAAAAGATCAGCGGCCTCACAGAGATCCACTTCACACGTCCTGTTGAGTGTCCGGTCTTACTTTATGTTCTCAGTGGGGCCCAGGATCGTCCGGCCCAGAGCGGTGGACCTGTACGCAGTAGCGTGCAGGTAATCAAAGACCACCTCCTGCAGGTTGGTCTCGACCTCCTGCATCTCTCTGAGGATCACCCCTCGCTCCCTCTCGATCTCCGCCTCGCCCAGCGTGCTGTTCTGGATGATGTCAGCCAGGATCTCCACGGCTTTAGAGAGGAAAAAACACACATATTTATTTAAACTCAACGCAGAGAAGGTTTGACGGGGAGTCTGGCACACGTCAGCGCATCCTACCTCTCGGCAGATCTTTTGAGAAAGCTTTGGCGTAGTACACAGTTTGCTCTCTGGACGTGTAAGCGTTGAGATGAGCCCCCATGTTCTCGATCTCTAACTCCAGGTCCAGCTGAGAGCGCTTTCTGGTGCCCTGTCATGAACAAGACGCACAGACGGACAAAGCTGTGGGTCCACTTTGGCAAACATTTACCACTTTTCTTTGTTATTTTAACTTTAAATTAAAGGTGGGGTCGGCAGGAATCTGTCGAAGAATTAGTGTAAACAGAAAACTCCACATCATCATCATCTTACCTTAAAAGCCATATGTTCCAGGAAATGTGCGGTTCCATTATTCCTCTCATTCTCATAGCGACTGCCGGCATCGATCCACAGACCAACCTGAGAGAAATCCAGATAAATATTTATTACTTATTTATCTGGTAATATTTATTACCAGATACATTTATTTATTTATTGCTTCTATCATCCTTTTGCTGTTAATTTTGTTTAAATATGTTTTTGTGAATGTCTCTTGGAGATGAATCAAGTATCTGTCACTCAATGGTAAAACTCTATTTTAAAGGTTCTCTTTGTTGCAAAATCCCTGTTAGGTAGAAAAACACAGCAGTACACCTGAACAGGAAATGTCTGTGTGTGTGTGTGTGTGTGTGCGTCAGGGGGACATTCATTGAATCTTACTGTGCAGGTGGTCAGTCCAGAGTCCTCAGACGCCACCCGGAGTCCGTTCTCCAGAGTGGTCACCTTGGTTTCAGGGACATTGAGAGCCACCTGGGGAGCAGCCTGAGTGGATAAGAGTCTGTGTGGACCAGCTGAGACCTGCAGAGGAGGGAGTGGGCAGACTGGTGAGAACAGCCAGTCATGATGACTCTGCAGGTTTAGATCAGAAATCTAAACACCTCTAAACCATTATCAACTGTATTAACTCCTGTGTCTGATGGTTTAAGACTCTTAAGAAGGAAAACAAACAGACGGTGAAGTTTTTCTGAACCGTAAATGTCTCAGATGTTAGCAAACATTTAGCCTAACACGCCCCGCAGAGGTCTAACCTCGGAAACACTGTGATAATAAAACTGTCAAAGTTCAACCGAAGAAGAGTCTTACACTAAATTAACCTCTAAACCTCTTTATCTTACCCTGCTCAGAGAATTGGTCTTCAGTAAATGTCTCTGAAGGAGAAATCTCCCAGCTGAAGTGAGGCGATGCACGGACGCCGCCATATTGTTTACCAACCACACCGCGCAGGCGCAGTTGACTGACGTAAGGAGTACGCAACATCCGCCAGTGTTTGCGTTGATTGAGTTAAGACAATAAAAGATTCAAAACGAGAATCTGTTTCAAATATTAAAAACAAGAGGAATCATTGAGGTATCGGCAGTAATAGTTTTGAAACGCATTTAATACAATAATAATATTTTTTTTAAAAGTATGATGAGAGAAAAAAATCCAAACTAAAAATTGTAAAACAAAAAATTGGGACACTTCTGTGAATCGATTTTTCTTCCACCCCTAATAGAAACATTTTAAATAATATATTATTATTATAATTATAATTATAATCTAATGCTTATGTGTTAATATGTTTGGTGAACGAGATAACGTTATATAGGCACAGTTTTATGGTTCAGTGGCCTTTTGTTATTGTGTGCTCACAGTATAATAACATTTGGATAATTCTTTTCGTACAAGATAATGACTTACGTTCACAAAAGAAGTTGTGCTTACAAGTTAATATTTCGTGAACACAACATAAAACTTTTGATTTTGGGACTTTGTGGACCATGTCCTGAAATCTAGGTTGTCATTATGTTTTGGTTTTTTGATGATTTCAGTGTTTAGGTTTATTTTGGTGGTAGTTCCCTTGATGTTAACATTTTAATTTCGTTTTAATTCTCACACTGTTTTTATTACTTTAAGTGCATCTTTCTTTTTCTATTTTTAAGTTTCGATATCCCCACTATAATACTTAAAAACTAATTTCAACGTTTTTTTTATACTGCTTTTATTTTGAAAGGGTGTGACAGCGGAAGTACGTCTTAAACTCAGCGCGAAATTACTCCAAGAGGCTCCAAGTTTGTCTGGTTGTCAAACTCACCGTAGCGGCTCACAGTGAGTTTAAGAGTTATGCCGAATTAAAGTCAGGTTTATTTTCGACAGGATTATCAGCCGCTGTGTCTGAAACTTGAAGGTATTTGTTCAAAACTCAGAGTTGTTTCTGTCTTTGTTAGTTATCAGATGAAGTTTTGTGCTATTGTTAGCTGCTAATGCTATCAAGTGTGGCCTCAATCAGCTGATTTATGAAAACTTCAATCTCTGATGTGGTGTTTTAGATCCTAATGGACGCTGATCTGGAGGATGGAGAGATCTCCGGGTCCAGCTCGGACACAGAGATGGGTACCGCAGCGGGACCAGCTCAGCCTCCACTCCGGGTTCCTCCAGCCTTAAGCGGGCAGTCCTTCTCCAGCAGAGCCGCAGCTCAGCCCTCTGGAGCCGCATACCGCAGCACCGTGAAGACGGCCGAGTCCAGCGACAGTGACCCGGACTCCTCAGATGAAGAGGCCTCTCTATGGCGAAGGAAACGGCAGAAAGTCTCCAACGCTCCCCAGCCTCCTCCAACCACCCACCGCATGCCCGCACCTGGAGGCCGCAAGGTGAACAACATTTGGGGGTCTGTGGTCCAGGAGCAGTGCCAGGATGCTGTAGCTGCAGAGCTGGGTATATTCGGCATGGAAGGGGAGGTGAGCATGTCCAGCAGGAATGTGGAGACGTATAACTTTGTCCTGGCTAAAAAGATCATGGAGAAGGAGAGGGAGGAGGAGAGGCAGTCCAAGGATGGAGGCGAGGTGAGCATGCTGGACTCCCAGCTGGAGGAGTACATGAAGGGGAGAAACTCAGGGGAGGGGGCAGGAGGTGATGCAAAGAGGAAGAGGTCAGCCAAAGAGAGGCTGGGCCCCAGAGCAGAGATGGACACTCAGGGTCGGTTTGAGATCACAGAGGACGACCCTGAGGAGAAGGTGGCCGATGAGATCGCGTACAGGCTGCAGGAGCCTAAAAAGGACCTCATAGAGCGTGTGGTTAACATCGTAGGGAAGAAAAAGGCCATAGAACTTCTCGGAGAGACCGCCACACTGGAGGAATCCGGCGGCGTATACACTATGGACGGCAGCAGGCGACGAACGCCCGGAGGGGTGTTCCTGAACCTGCTGAAGAACACGCCCAGCATCAGCAAGGCCCAGATCAGGAAGGTCTTCTTCGACGAGCAGCAGAAAGAGTGCAAGAGCAAGAAAGCCGCGCAGAAGAGGCGGCGGCACGTGGTGGCGAAGAAAATGAAACAGGCGATCAGCACGCTGAACCTGCAGGAGCACGACGACGTCTCCAGGGAGACCTTCGCCAGTGACACCAACGAGGCTTTGGAGTCTTTAGAGGAGGCCGCAGAGGACGAGGAGGAGGAAGAGGAGGCGCAGGAGGAAGCTGCTGTGGGGATCGAGGAGACGGCGGTGGTCTACAGCGCCGCAGATCTGGAGGTTTTCTGAGAGCTGAGATGAACTGTGGGGATCTGAGCATGGACATTACAGATTAAACTGAAAGCACTGTTTAAGAAGTCTCTGCTGAGAACAGAATCACACCTGAGCGTCCAATTTTTTTACTTTAGGAGCTAAAAGTGAATTTATGTGAAAATCTTGTTTGTTTGGAGCAGCATGGAGTCTTATTTCAACATATGTAATCATAGATTTACTAAAAGTTAGTTTGATTTTTGTTTAGAGTTTCTCTGGACGAACAGAGACACCCTGTTATCGAAACCGTCTTTACTCTGATTTATGTCATCAACTAATCAATTCAGATTTATTAACTTTATTTGTGTGAGTGTAACAGGTATCTAAATAAAGATGAGAGGGGTAACGTTCCTAAAGAGAGTAGTTCGGACATTATTCTCTGTTAAAATCTTCTTTAAGATCAATTTTCAGCTTCTTATTCTGATCCTGTGATGTTGTTGTTTGGGTTTAGAGTCATTTCTGTTCACATCTGCAAAGAAAATACAGAAAACTACCAGAAAAGTGAGGTAGTTTGAATGACTGTAAAGCAGAGATTTGTCCACTAGATGGCGTGCACACACTACTTCCCACAAATGAGAGGATACAAATCAAAAAATACACAAAATGTGCCCAGAAAATTGTGTTTCCCAAAGGGAGGGTCCAATAGAAGGTAAATGAATAATAAATAAAGCAAAATTCAGACTCCCATACTCTGAGATGAAACTAAACCTGAAAGATCAGCAGCTCTGCAAAGGGCTCTGCCTCATGGTGGATTATGAGGATAAGAATGAGTCGAATCATTCAGGATGAGACTGAATCTCATCTTCATCTGCGGATCCTTTAGTTAAAGTGAGAATTTCATTATTACAGAGACATGTCTTCAGTCTACAGTTAGTGAATACTTGTCTGCAGTGATAAGGAGTTAAAATGACATTAATGGTGTGAGAAGTTAGTCTGAATACAACAGTTATGACTATTATGATAAAAAAGTCAAGTAATAGTAACCGTAGACAAGTTGAAAGAAACTAAGAGGAGAGTTTACGTGAGGTCAATGAGCAGGTGTTCCTGATTTCAAACATTCAATAAACTTTTATTTAAGTTTATCTTAAAATTCCAGTTTTATAAATCTCCTGCAATAATCCTCAATCAATTAACGGTCACTCCAAAATTCACCTTCACTGCAGAACGGCTGCAGGAAGGCAACTGTGCTCACACTTTGCTGCTATCTCCATCCTCTTTAAATGTAACTACAGCTGCATTTACCAAACTCAACCAAAAGGTGGCAGCAAAGGTCTGCGCCGACGGTGGCAGAAGTTTTAAAGTTAATGAGATGACAGGGCAACAGACAATATCGGGGATTTTTTTGTTTTACACATTTTTTTTCTTTATTTGCTTTAAAAAAAAAACTCTAAACAATTATAAAACTGTGAAAAAATGTTTTTGTAAGAACGATTGTGTCTCCAGAGGGAATTAAAAAGCAGCTTTAGAGAGTTTTTCAGCTTTTAGATTAGATTAGATTAGAAGTGTTTTTGAACATGAAAAGCAGAATGATTTAAGTTAAGCTCAGTCAAAACAGAGTCTGATAAAGACTTAAACAGCTTCAACGGAGCACCCTAATGTTTAGAAGAAAGGTTATTGGCCACTCGTCCACGAGGAGGAATTACTGACACTACGTTTAAAATAAGCAACCACAGTTCATTTAAGTCAAAGGTACCTTTAACTCTAACCAGTAATGTTTAGAGGCTTTAATTAGTGAACAGGACAGGGAGGAGAGTATAATAGTGGGCAGACATGTACCAAAGGGTCAAAGGTCAGAATCAAACCCAGGCCGTCCACTTTGTGGTGCAGAAATTACCGTAAAATATGAGACTGAAGTTGCACAAGTTTAATGGTAATAGAGAGGGAGTGTTGTTTGGACAGAGGACTTACGCTGCTTCATCAAGCGCCCTCTTCTGGTTAAAGGATGGTAAGACAGTCAAACGCTGCTTTATTTTAACATGATGGTCAGGTTGGAGCTCACCACTGAAATGACAAAATAGGTGTTAAAGGGATATTCTGGCGTAACAGTTAGTCCATTACGAGTCCATTACGGACTACGGCGGGGTGCCGCAGCTCAAGGAAGAACATTTATGATAATTTCTTCATGGAAATACAATCAGACTGTAAACCATAAAGAAATGATCATAAATGTTCTTCCTTGAGCTGTGTCACCCCGCTGTAGTCCGTAATGGACTGGCCTGAGGTCTCGCTGCAAACAAGCGGCTGCTGGAAGAGAGTAGGTGAGTTGTGTTTAGTCTCTTTGCTAAATAAATGAGTCAAAGTTAAAAAGATGTTTGGTGTCTAGTACTATGTCTGTGACCCTATATGTCCTGTTGATGAAGTTAGGTGCTGTTCTGATCATTATTTGTGGCTATAGAGTGGCGTTTTGGTTGAGCGCGTGGCTCTCTGTATTGCTATCGGCAGTTGTTACTAAAGTTGGTATAACTAGAGAAGCAAGCGGTCGACAACATTCATCTCTTGACTGGGTGTCTAACACGGTTTGTTTGACCCTAGCTTAATTTTACACCGGAATATCCCTTTAAAGGGTGTTTTTCTGTTAGTTTGCAGGTTTAACGAATATCACTGAGACTAACTTTAATGTCCCCCACACTAGCTCTCAGTAAATCTTCCAATCTTACAAATGAGAGCGTTTACGAGCCGACCACATCTCCGTCAACAGATGCCCCCTGCTAAAGCCGCTCCATCTAAATCAAAGTAAAAGTGTACAGTCGCCCCGCACAGCTGCGGGTGGAGAACGAAAGCCTTTAATAGTAGCGGTGGATTTGTCAGCTGAAGCGCCTTGGAAACGATCATTATCTTTGCTCGTGGCTGCCACATGAAAGGCCCGGCGCTGTGGCAGGAACACGTTTGATAATCCCCCCACTTAGGGCTGTTTTCATATTTGCTGGCGGATGTGTCGGCTCTGATAAGGCGTCAGTGTGCACATCATGATTCCATGCAGCAATTAGGCAAGCTGATTAGGAAAGGTGCGTGAATCAGTCTCCTGCAATCGAGTTGAACTGCCTCCTCATTTGCTCCTGAGCAGTTTAGCTGCACCTCGAAGAAGAAGAAGGAGAGGGGAGCTCACAGCCAATCAGAGCGCAAACAGACATTTATTGTTCACTTTAAAGGCGATCAAAGCTGGATCATCAAAGACGGGCGAGCTGCAGGAGGTGAAAGATGCTCTGCCTCGTCTTATTCATGTGGAATTGTTGCACACACTCGCCGGTCTCAGGACCTCTGTATCTGTCACCTGGCAACGAACTTGTTGCCTGGATACAACACGCTGTTTCTTATTTTCCATTGGATCAAACAGGACCAGGGTTGAAAGACTTGTATCTTTGGACAGGAGGGGAGGTGCTGCATGATGTCAGCGTTCACAGAGGCTTTCAACGGCTCAAATTAAGTGTCTGTGTGAGTTTCATTCGTGTGTGTTTGCAGATGAAGCTGCAGGAATAAGTCCACTTACCAGTTTCTGCCATCGAACAATACTACAGTTTTTCTCAGTCGCTTTGGTACATTTCTCGAATCATCCTCGACATTTGCAAAACAGTTAGTTCTTTTCTCAAAACAATTTGTACAAATAGCAAAACACCATGGATTACCTGCAAAAGCCAGTCTCTTGCTCAAAATCCTTAGTACATCTCTCAAAAGTAAATATCTGTGTCAATGAACATGTCAGTGCCATCAGAATGACAAGTCCTTGTGTCATTGTGTACGGATAAGACAGTCAAATTGCTTAGTCATGTTGTCAATATAACAGTGTACTCTGGAGGGATGTTCTGATGTAAACTATGGCTAAAGTTTTGATGACAATCATTGTAAATTGTAAGTTACACCTCAGTGTATGTGGGAGATTGATTGCATTGATTGCAAGAGACTGTAATTTGATGACAGACCATGTCATTGCGATACAGAAAAGAAAAAGACAGCACTGCAGAGCACAATAAAAAAAGCAAAAAAACAAAAGTAGAAATGTGAACATAGGACAATTTCCTTAGGGAAAACTGGAAATGCAGTGCTGTAGGAATTACAGTACAGTCTTCCTACACCTCCTGATGTTCCTGTCTGTTGGGCAACAAATTCTTATCCACAAAATGTCACTCATCCAAAATTTCACTGTAAATACTATACTTACTGTATATTGTAAAATGAAAGTCGAATACTGCAATATTGTATGAAGCATTACAGAAAGTATACAGTATTACAGTACAGTGCCTATTGTTAGATTACAAACCTGTTCTGTCAACGAAAAGTCTGAATGATTGAGGACACAGTTGTTCTCCCAACATTTGGCTGCACCCTTCGGCCAGCCTCAGCCATTGTAAGCCCATGATTGAGAACGTGGTCTACAAGTGTAGCTCTTATCTCATCAGGAACGCGCATATGTCCTCTGCCTCTTCTGCCTCTTCCTCTGTTTTGCCTCCCAACTCCTCCGCCACGCAGCCTCACTCCTCTTCCTCTTCTTCTCTCTGGCTGTTGACCCCGTCCATTTCCTTGTCCTTCCATTGTCAGACATTGTAACATTGTGTTGTGCCCTGGCAATATATACTTGCCAGTTGATGGTTCATGAGATGCACCTTTGAGCTGTTTCAGAAAAGTGTTTGATCATTGGTTGATCTAATGCTTCACACATTTCCCACCGTTAGAGAAAGTCAAGATTCACCTGGGAGCAATTTACCAATTCAGGACAGATTCAGAAACGTCTAATGGAAATGTATAGAAATATGCTTGACATATTATGACAGCGTGTTCAACCATTTTGCATGTAAAGACTTGTGCGATGAACTAATGCCTAAATGTTGTGGGGGGTGAGACTATTCAACAGAGACCCATTATAGTACATTTTGATCAACATGACATAAGCAATTGATAATGTAGAAAACAGCAGAAAATTGTACATAATCATTTGCATGGCTGTACCAAAGCATTTGCAAGTTGTTCAAAGAAATGAGAAACTGCTTTTCTGATGTGCACAAGTGGCACAGTGATGTGAAGATTGAACACGTAGTTTTGAGAATTTCAATTCTGATCTGAGAAATGTACCAAAGCAACTGAGAAAAACTGTAATAGAAACAATACTGTTTGCATGAGCGCCCCCTGCTGGAGCCCCTGCAGACCTGCTCACTGACACAGATCAGAAACCAGGAGAAGCCGTTCAGAGACCTTTCTCTTCATGATCACACGAGCTGAAGTAAACTGTTCATCGGTGCGTCTGAGCTGATCCCGGAGCTGCTGACAGAAAGTATGAACGCAAACACCCGTCACACTCGCCCAGAGAGGGGCTGTGATTTTTTTAACGTCCCTCTCGTGTGTTTTCTGAGCTGCAGCGAGTGACCAGAAGGTCTGCAGCAAAGGTGAGTTAGATAACATCATCAGAGGACTATTGAGAGCGGGCGGTGACTCATCACTTTCAGCCAAACAAAGGTGACCCAGTTGGGCGGAGAGAAGAGACACGAGATCGTAAAGTATGTCAGCCGTGGGGATGATATCACTTTAGACTCAGCCTCCTGTTTGAATTCAGGGACATTTTCAACACGGCGTATGCATGACTCAACTTCTTATCAAGGTTTTCCATTAGTGCAAATGTTAGCTAAAGTGCTTGTTGTTGTAAGAGAGATGCAATTTGTCTGATGTCTTTGTACCGAAGGTAAGATCCTGATCCAGCATCCACCTGACTGAACCCAACCGAAGACGGCAGGAAAGCGGAGCAGCTGGTTCAGTTTTGGTTTTTGTACGGGTTTCGTTTTGTTTTCTTCCGCTTATCCGGGTCCAGGTCGCAGGGGCAGCAGCTCAGGAAGGATCTACTCGGTTCTACTCTGAGCTCTTTACCCTATCTTTAAGGCTGAGCCCGGCCACCCCGCGAAGGAAAATCATTACGGCGGCTTGTTTCCGCAATCTCGTTCTTTCAGTCATTACCCAAAGTTCTTGACCATTGGTGAGGATCGGCATGTAGATCGACCGGTAAATCGAGGTTATTTAGGTTATACCAGGTTATTCTCTCTTCTTATCGATCATATTGTCATTGACTTTCATGTCCCGTTAGAGTCACTAATCTAGTCTCTTCTTGGAGTCCCTGACCTCCATCATGCCGTAGGTTCTTCTGGATCGCTGCTGTAGATGTTTGGGTGCCGTGGACCTCCTTTCCAACGACGTGCATCAGTCTCTCCTCTCTCCATCTCTCTCTCTCTCCCGTCTCTGAACTCAGCTCAGTCTCAGCTGATGACGGTCTAACATCAGTCTGGTTCTGCTCAGGGTTTCTGCCTGTTAAAGGAAGTTCTTCCTTCTCTTCTGACATGTTTCTGTCAATCATTCACTTCTTCTTCGTGCTTGTCAACTGGAACGAGGACAACAGTCTGGTTAATTAGTTACTGGTTTACATCAGCTGTTAATCGCACTGATAGACTGTCCAGCATACTGAGCTCCAGTTTTTATTGTAGTGACAGAAATTGCAGCAAACCTTTCACAGGTATCTATGTCAGTGGTCACTGTACCTGACTTGTTTGCTAATAACCTAGCGGGAGAAACAGCTAAATCGACTAACTTGAACAACTAAACTTTCAAAGCTCCGACCCCTCGGCCTCCAAACACCCAAACACATGCTCGAACTGAGCTCAGCTGAATGTTTCCGTCGTATCTCTGTCAGATCTGATGATGATGATTCTGAGTTTCTTCTTCTTCTTCTTCTTCACATGGTGATGAGAACAGCTTGTACTGCTGGTTGCTTAGGTACAGCTGGAGCCTGCCTTCATTTCTGCCTCTCTGTTTTTTGGGCAGTGAGCTTCACATCATGCAGCCGCGGTGATGAAGTTAGGGGAAAGGTTTTGGTAGATTTAGAGTCTTCGTGTGAGCGGAGACGTCCAAACAGGAGCAGAAATGTTCACTTCATATGAAGGTTTGAGTTTGAGTGAGTACAAGGACACTTTCTCTGCATGTCGCTTTCTTTCACACGACTCCAACTTCCATCTTTTGAAGCTTTCTCTTTTTTCAGTTATGTTCCTCGTACTTTGACGTGGGCTCCCTTTTTAGTCGCACTGAAGGTGCCAACTATGCCAGCCGGCACTATTTATGACCATTTCCATACAAAACTCTGAGTGTGTATGTTTGACGTAACCCCGAACAAAAGCTCGCTCTTGTTTTTCACTCTCACTGTGGGCTGACACGTCTTCGCTGACGTGAAACGACCTTGGTTCGAGTTTCGCTTGAAAAGATGGTCTTTAAACACGACAAAGCTAATGTGAGGGGGTGGATTTCGGTGGGTGTAGCTCAGCGGGGAGAGCGAGGCGTAAAAAAACATCCAAGGTTAGGAGTTTGATTCCTGCTGACCGTCAACGCTTCTCCAAAGTAGTCCAAAAGTCCAAAGTAGCTCCCTCTCCACATTTGAGGACAAAATATGGATAAAAAAATTCAGACTGACACCTGCTGCTCACTCTGCTTCACGTAGTTTCTGTTTTCATGTGTGTGAATGCATGACTGAGCCTCTTAAGACCGCTCAGTATGATCAACACTCACCGAGACGGACGAGACACACAGATGAGCGGGCGCAGCTCAGACATGTCAGGGAATGAGAAAGTCTTGTCAAGTACACAGAATGACAGATTGCCCCGCGAACGCCATTAACTGCCCGATTCAGAGCCGAACGAGGGGTCATTTGCATACAAATAGTGTGTCTTTATGAATCAATGATGGATGGGTTCACCAATATAGACTCCACGGCTGTTTCCAGTTTCCTCCAGCTTGAAGGACACAGCCTCAGGAGAGTCATCTGACGGAAAACTCTGGAGAAAACGGCAGATTGATACAAATGTCTCTGTGAAGCAGCAGGTAATATTCAGCTGCTATTACTCAACGGGACGAGGCGCTCCACACAAACGTCTGCAGCTTGATTTATGTGTTCTTACTTTAATCATAATTCCTTTTCACAAACAAGATGTGACTTTTTTTTTTAGCTTTTGTACAATCGGCAGAGTTTATCGTGCCTCTACAGCAGCTCTGCTCTGCTGCTAATGCTAATGCTAGCTTTTCGACAGCTGTGTTAGCTACGTTAAAATGGTTTGAAATGTGCAGAACATGGGACTGAAGGTTTGAGTGCAAAGAGTCGGGAGTATTTGCTCTGTAGTATAGGGTGGCCACAGCTACCTGCCAATTGCAAGAACACAGATTGCCACGCTATAAACAAGGATAGACGAAAAAGAAATAGCAGATATTGAACATTTGAACTGCTTGTTTTGACTCAATTCTGTAACTTATGAGAAAAAGTACCCTTCAAAATAAAAGCATAGTTTTACGATGCAGGAAACAAAGCAACCTAAACCTATGAAAATGTGACCAAATCTGATTAATGCTGCTACTAATCACAAACAGACCACTGCTGAGAAATTATTTAGTGTCAGACTTCGCTGAAGAAATCTACTAATGACGTAACTTTGACTAAATTGTTCGGTAACGTTTTCTGTTACGGTACACTTATTACCAGGTAATTAACAGGTAATTACCCAGTAACAACATGAAATTATCTGGTAATTACATGATAACTACTAAGTCAATACTGTCTAGCTACCAGGTAGGTAACCTTCCATCATCATACAAATTTGAAGCCGAATTGCTCTGGTATTTCCAGGATTTTCTCAGCTTCCATGAACCACCACTTGCGCAGTAGCATTGTACGCATTCGGCGGGTGAGTCGCTGTGATGACGCTCGGCTCAAACAGCGTATCGCCACGCAATCTTCGCACGCCCATAGGCTGTATCAAGTGTCAATCATAGAAAATAAGAACCTCAAAAAAGCTTTTGAAAATGGAGCTGCAGAGAAAAAAGACAAAAAAAGAAAAACTAGACAGTATCGACTTAGTAGTTATCATGTAATTACCGGATAATTTCATGTTGTTACTGGGTAATTACCTGTTAATTACCTGGTAATAAGTGTACCGTAAAAGAAAGCGTTACCAATTGTTCAACTTGAATACAGAGAACGTAAGATTTCAGCAACAGATCAGAGCAACATCACAGAGATATGTAGTTATGCAGGTCTAAAGTTCGTCTGGCTGTGATTTGAAGGGTCTATACAGTTAACAGTACCCAGTGGGAACGATGTGAACCTGATTTTCCAAAAGATTTATAAACTTTATATGTGAGTATGTCTTGATTGTACAAAATGCACATTCCCTAACTGAAACAGCATTGTTGTGATAAATTCAGACATTTATGTTAATCGTGAATGCTCAAAATAGTAGAATTGTGATTTATTGTGCAGCCCTAACCTCCACCAATCCACTGCAACGAATTAAAGATGAAATAATGCTAATTTAAATGGTGATGTGTGGTTGGACTGTAATTTTAAAGCCAATCACAGACCAATAAATCATTCCACTGAGCCAATAACTACAGTTTTCTTCATGACAGAGACCGAATGTAAACTCTCTCTCTTTAATGACCTTTTCCAGTCTTTTCTCATGCTGCATGTTTCTGTGTTTGACTGTTAACCATCTATTTCTTTCTCAGAAACTATTTCAGCTGCGCCCGACACACCAATTCAACCTTTCAACTGGATTACCGTATCTTTAAACTCCGGTAGATTAGCGATCTGAAGCATGTCACATGTCTTCGATGGTTGATTGGCAGTTTAAAAAGTAAACAAATAGATCTCAGGATGACTAAAATCAGTCTGAACACGTCTCTCTCTGAAGCTCATGCAGTATCTAAATGTATCTAAGTGTTTTTCTCCTCTACTATCCTGACATCTCTTTTCACAGGTCGCTCTCTGCAGAATCTCTCAGCGTGGATGTCTTCAAGCTGGATGGCAATCTCATTAATCTGCTGCCTGACTTCGCCGCCCCTGTCATCCCTCTCTGGCCCTCAGATAATGGGCTTCTATTATGTGGACCAGTGTGTAATCGCTCAGACTCACAGACCACTCAGATTGCTTTGGTCCCATCATGTTGCTGTAACGCTTTAGGCACTGCCACATGTCTCCCTCACATCAGAGAGAATATAGGTCGCTGCTGGTGCATACTGTGAGACGGCACGGAAAAGAAACTTGTCTGGAGTCACTTTAACTATAAAAGATTTCTCCAAGTGTTTAATTTCACGTCTTGTCTAATTTGCATTTTTTATCCCATTGATTCTCTTCAGGTCAGTTTGGTTAATTGAGCACAGTAATAAAATTTGGTCGTAGTTTTGGCGCTGTGAGCAGGTGCAATGTCATAGGCTTGGTTTGAAGCTTTATACAACTACAGGAGTCACAAGAGTAGGGATGGGAGTTGATAAGGTTTTATCGATATCGATGCAGGGCTTGACACTAACTTTTTTCATCAGGAGCTCCAAAGTTGAAAAAGTAAGGAGCACACAAAGAACTTTAGGGGCACATTGAAAATTGATCAAATGATGTTTGTCTTACTGGTCGACATAAGTACTCATATTTGAAATTAATTTTAGGTCTTTTGGTCTCATGACAGTGAAGCTATTAAAGAAAATGTTCAAAATCTGCCTTTAAATTTTACGCAAAAAATTTTAGAGGACAAATTAAGAAAAAATGAGGTGTGTCTGATTGTCCTACCTTGGTACTACTTTTTGAGATCAATTTTAGGTCAATTGGTCACATGACATGGAAGCTATTGAAGGAAAACAGCCTTTTCTGAGAACATCAACCAGTAATTTATTGACGGTCCCTTATTCAACACCGACGTTGACAGTGAGGGTGTCGAGTAGATTTAACCGCACTGCTGTTGTTATTCCCGGTTATGGAGAGTGAGAAGACACCGGTAGATCCTCAGTGAATGTCAGTCGAATATCCAACCTGAAACTAACTTACCTAAATACATTTTGTATTTTACCTTTACAGGTGCATGATAATGATAAATACACGCTCATTGAAATGATGGTTGCGCAGCCACGTTTCTCCAAAGGTCTGAAAAAACTGTTCGATAATGACATTTTAATCTTTTTCTTTTGTTGTCCTGAAGTGAAGACTAACTTCCACCATCTCCTTAGAAAATATCAGGCTGTTTATGGGCTTAATGGTCCACTTAGTCTGCCATCTGGTTGCTAACTGTCGGGCTGTCTGGTACCTTCAGCCAAGAGCTGGTTTATCTAAACCGTTCGACTGGAAATGAAGCTGATGAGATGGTGAGAGAGAACCAAAACATTTAAGCAACAAAATGAAAATAATAAGTTATGAGATTCTAACGAACCCACAAAGCTGAGACGAAGCGATGATATATCTAAGTGAGTCTGCCTCCATGAATAAACGGCTCGTTAAATAACGATTATTTCTGCAAATGTTTTGTTAGATCTTCAGAGCGACACGGAAACACAAGAATCCAAAGATGTACAAACTGCTGAACCTGTGATCCTTCAAACTGAGATAAAGTCGGGATGTCGAATCTGAGAAATGTTTTGTTTGTCGAGTCTGAGAGCGTCTGACTGTGTCTCTCCGAGGACTGTCCTTTGTCCTGATTCTCACTGAGGCTGAGAGGAGAAATGATAACAGAGAGGAAATGTTGTCCAGCATGTCTGAGGGCTGTGATTGGTCAGAAGTTTGCAGGGACACTGAGGGACACTGACTGACTCCATGCTTGAGGATGCTTGTCAAAGATGGCGACACACGGCGTCTGAAAGGTGCTGGAGAGTCTTTGTGTTGGTTTACAAACAGAGTTAATAACTGCAGAGACGTTAAACCCTGATTTAAAGGAGCAGATATGAATCCTTTCTATTGTTGATAGAGTCGAAGAATTTTCTCTTGGGTTTGCAGAAAGTTTTGTAAATCAGCTGGAATGTTTTTTTTATAACTTGTAGACTTCTGATGAAGCACAGGAGGTCAAATCTATCAGTACAGAGTGATGGAATAATGAAATATCATTAAAATAATCAATATAGAAATGATAGAATTAAGATGGAGAGATAATTGGGACGATCAGAGGACAGATGGACAGTTTTAAGATGGTTAGATACACTTATGAACGATGGACTGGTGAATGGATGAATACATGGGTGCAAAGAAAAATGGATAGAGAGGTGGGGGGGTGGCTACATGGCTGGATGGACAAATATAGAGATAAATGTACGGATGGAAGTATATATTTATGGTTGACAGAAGCTTAAACGACTGAATAGATGATTAAATAATGGATATCATGGATAAATGGATGGATGGATGAATAGATGCAAAGATAGATTAATAAATGAATGCATGTGTGGACAGGTGCCTGTTAGATGGGTGCATGTATACCTGGAAAGATGTATAGATGGATGGATTGATATATGAGTGGGTAGATGGACAGGTGGGTGGATAGATAAGATGGGTGGATGCAGAGATGGTTTTATAGATGGCGAGCTGTTTAGATGGACTGGTGATGGATGTAAATGGATGGATGGGTTGGTTGATGGACAAATTGATCAATAAATGAATGGCTGGATTGGCTGGTCAGGTTGAACTGACGGATGCATGGATAAATGAACGGATGAATGGAGGGATAAATGCATGAATGGGTGAGCCATTAATGGATGCATAGATGGATAGATGGAGGGATTCATGGATGAATGGGTGGATGTATGGAGGGATGGATGGATGCATGAATAGATGCATTGATGGTTTTATAGATGCAAGCTGTTTAGATGGACCGGTTGAAATGATGGTAGACAGATGAATGGATTAATGGATTGGCTTAAGTAAATAGATGACTAGATGTTTGAAACGATGGATAGATACATAAATGGGTGGATGGAGGGATGGTTGCATGTGTGGACAGGTGCCTGAAAAATGGATTCATGCATACCTGGAAATATGCATGAATGAATGAATGCATTAATGGTTGTATAGACAGATTACTGTTTAGATGGACTGGTGCAAGATGGATGGATAGACGACTCGATGTTTGGATGGGTGGAATGTGAAAGATCATCATCAAACAGATAGTCTGAATGGAGTTAACTCAGTTCTTTCACTAAATCACAGATTGATTTGAGATGCAGAAGAAAACTAGAAAAGCCGATTTCCTCAAACCTGTATCTCTGACACTGCCCCGTTTGTCCAATCACGATTAAATCTTTCCTTTTCCCACACCATGACGTCTCAATCTGTGTGTGACGCTTTGCTCTTAAAGCCTGCAAACACACTTTCCTGCTGGATTTAATGACATGTATTTTGGATGCTCCTGCAGGACCTCAGATAATAAGGGCTCTAAAATTAATGGTCTCACCCTGCAGCCTCCAAAATACATTTTTAATTCAAAACTAATAAGGCCAATCTGTGTTTTTTTAAAGATCAGACACGGTGCCAGGATGGATTATATTACCACAGGTTTCATATTCAAATCAGTCCAATGGTCTTCATCCAAAACCCAAAATAACGGCTCGGTTAGATTCCAGCCGGGGAGAGGAGCACGTAGAGTACATCTACATGTTGAACACGATTAAGGAATAATTTTTCATATGAATTGCTCCTAATCTGTGCGACTCCTCTATTTAACATTAATTGGCTCATTAAATCACTGCCAGCAGGCTGACAGCAGTGTGAGATTAATAAACTCTGTGTCTACGTGAAGAAATCCTCACAGCGTCGGTGCAGCTGCGTCTCAAAGACTCATAAGACAGATGAGGAGCACAGGTGAGAGCGCCTCTGAATTTAAGACACCTTCAATTAATCTGAAGCTCTGAAAGTGTGAGGGTGGAGGAGAGATTGTTCTTTAAAAATATGAATCACTGCTCCGTCCTAAAAATAGACAGTAAAGCAAAGCACTGTGGTCTAGAAGGAAGCTAAATTAGCGGCTATATTAGTCACTGGGTCTCCACTACAGTCGCACAAGTACCGCTGATTGCTTTTCTTTCCTCCCCCGGAAAATTACTAAAAGCCCATAACAGTGAGTAGGAACAGAGTGTCGCTTTTCAGGGCTGTAAAAACACGAGCCGGAGGTTAAAGAAAGATCTGATTCACTATCTTATTTCAACTCATTTTTACAGTCATGGTTTAAAAGACGGTTTTACTGCGTCTGTTTGAGGAGCAAGTTTCCGAGTTGTTTTAATAAAGAGGGAACCCACTGTTTCTACAAATCTGTCAGTGTTTTACAAGCTCAGTTGCGAAAACAATCAACAAACACCCGAAACAAAAGGCCGGGCGCCTGACGTGTTTCAATCTTCTAGGTGTTGACCAAAGGAGGTCCCGCTGGTGATCTTGACAGCTGCTAAGCTCTACACTAGACACTACTAGCTTTGTTGGGCCTCGTCTAAGTCTAAGTGTAGAACCTTTGATGCGTTATGAGCCACAATCTGTTAGGAGTTCAGCATAACAACCAGATTTTTGCAAAAAACTTGCAAAAGTTCGTTATAAAGATGAGAAGTTGTGTTTACTTTTTTCGCAAATTAAAGAATATTTAATCAAACTGACAGCAGGCCTTCTATCCTACAGATTCTCCTGTAGTATAATCAGTTTAATCTGCTAGCGTGCATGCTGAAATGAAGAGTGAGACATTACTGAGGAGCCACCAAGAAGCACCAGGCTGAAAAACCTTCAAAAAACAAGATCAGGGTTTATTGTTCCGACTGGTACCAAAGTGTCAATCCAGTTCCTCTGATTACATTTACATATTTGCAGACTGGAAACAAAAGACCAGACCGGCGTACCAAAATCATGTGTTTTCTGTTTTTATCTCCTGTGATGATAAGAGATCAGATAACACAGAGATGAGTTTAGATGTTCCTCCTCTTTAGCTGCTGCTTTTAAACCCTCCCTCCTGTCTTTCAGCGGTTTGTTCTGCATCCCTCGGCGCTCCGCATTTTAACACAGTGGGTTTTTATATCAACATATCCATAACGCATAAATTACCGTCACTACACGCTTCCTCGGGCAGAAGTGAGAAAATGTGAGAGCCCGTTTTGCAGATCAAAGTGTGACATTTACCGTTTCCATTAAAAACAAATCATGACCGAGTGATAACCGCGAGGAACGTTCAA